CCAAATGCCCCATGGACAGATGATTGGTGATCTGGATAGAAGCCGTTATACACGGCAGCGGGTAAGGCGGAGGCGGCGGTTACATGACGAGGCGCGGCGCAACTCGAAGAAGGGGGGCGTGGGACCACAAATCAAACACAGTTCAACGTCCGAGTGCTTCCTTCCCCGTAGTGGAGGCGTGCAGGGCTCCAGGATGAACGTCTGATGTTTCGATCGACCACGTTCGCTGGCGTGGGTCTCTGAATGTCCCGAGTCGTGTTCCTGTAGCTTCGAGCTCGAGGGTGATGAGCTACCGAAAGCACCTCTCAATCATTTTTACCAAGTGACCGAAGGACTTGGGAGACGTGGTAAAGTAGCCAGTGATCGCGTAGACAGCAACATGAGGGAATTGTGGAACGTCAGAGAAACGGCAAGTAGTTCATCAGTCTGGCACAACTCAAAGGTCTCCCTTTGCTCATCGCCATGCCATTGGCTCGTCAAAGTGGACCAAAATTGTCGAGTATCCCCGGCGGGTGAGCCGATAGCGGTCGAACAAAGTTAGAGCTCCTCACTTCCAACATGTGCTTCGTCTGGGGATGCCGTCACCGTGGATTGACAGGCTGGGAGTGCAAGGCTTGCCTCCGAAAGGTGCGAGGTAATCAGCATCGTTGAGCACTTGAAGTCTTCGAAGCGAAAAGCAAGTCTTTGTTAGTCTGAGCAGTGCCGGCCTGAGGCACCCAATGATTTCTCTGTCAATGCCAGTTCGAGAGGAGGGCATGTCCCCATAGGCCAAGGGACAGGTGCTCATTGGGCCTGGGCTCTGTAAGTGGGCGTACATAGGACTGAAGCCGTTGGGGTTCCGGTGCTGATATTCTGGCAAATACCATCAATCTGCAAACGAAGTAGCAATGATAGCAAGAGCTCATGACCGAGAATGGCGCGCACTGGTCGTTGGACCGTTGGTAGGGGCCAGGTGGATAGCTCAGAATTTTCCCGAATCGGCAGATCTGTATGATGATTGGTGGACGCACGCAATGGCGTTTGCTGCGTTCGCCCAAGTTCATTGGTTGTCAGGTTGTCGCCACAATGAGTGCCATCGGATGTGGAGGAAGAAGCATGAGCACCGGGTATCGTACCACACAACGCAAAGGGCAATCGCTCCGGCCCGGAGAGCCCTTTTTTGATCGCGTGGTAACACTTCGATGTGGACAAAGGGATGTTTCAGCAGTGCCCACCAAGGTACCTCGTGTTCGTACAAGGGTTGTCGAAAGTACCTCCAGGACGTTTATCTTTCTACGAGACATGCAGCTTAAACAGCTAGAGGACAATCATTGCCTTGTGCATCTCATGTAGCGAAACAGATCCGGACGCGCCGACTCGGGGTTCGGAGGCCAAGGCCGGGTAACGAAGTCGTGGGGACGAGAAAGGTACTGGCGCTGGTTGTAAACGTCCCATTGAGCATACGACTCGCCGAAACAGTGCTTAGTGCGATGGTGTACCTGATACTAAGTCAGGAGCAACACGAGGACTCCGGAACACGCAGCATCCGTTGAGGTAAGACGACATATGCGAGGATTTGAAGCGAAAGCTTGAGTGGCAAATCTAAGGCTCCTAAGAAGTCTGGATCAGCGTCTTGGTTAGGCCAGGTACAAGCATACAGCGAGTCGGAAAGTTACCGCGGTTGGAAGAGAAGCCAAGTGACGTGTCTCAATCTCTGTTCTACCAGTAGCCAGTCGATGGATCCAGGCGGTTCTAATTCTGGCAGACGCAACAGCAAGTGACTATGTGGCCAGGGGCGCTGTGGAGTTCGAACGTTCGCGTACTATTTTGGCTTCTGCAGCCGTCGCGACGGTGAGGACAAATGATCGAGGCACCAGAAGCAAGCCGCAGCCGCCGGTGAGACCCATTGGATACGTCTCAAGGGTCTCGCAGCCATCGAATCGATCAGCAAGCGATGGGCAGGAAGTGGAAATGATAACCGGAGGCGACCATGAAGCAATGATGGACGCGCAGACTTGATGTTGGAATTAGCAAACCCTACGCGCCAAGCCCATGACGCAACCGGCACCGCTCGAAAGTTTTTCCTCTCCGGCCGCGCTATACCGCCTTCGGACAAGGGGAATTCGGAATTCGCATCATCTCTCCATAACTTTCGATAAACCGACCCGAGATCCTGGAGAAGGCCAGCTGCTCAGCCACAGCCAGGGTCCCACCAGTCATCTAGGCTCGAGCGTCTCGGATCTCTTGACACTAAAACGGCCGGCCATCTCCACCACGAGATCGGCATATGCTGTGTGAAAAAGTCGTTGTCGCCACCTGCCACCGAACGACTCGGCATGAGACATTCAGTAGCCGCAGCGGGTAAGCCAGCAGTCGCTGATTGACACAGATCATCTGGCGAGCCGATCAACACCACTACCGGTGTACCTGCGTTGTTTCTAACAATAGCGAAATTGTGCAGAATGATGCCATACGCCGTCATAGGATGGGGAGACAAGCACAAACAGGCCACCCGGGAGTGTGAGGAATGGTACTCGTGTGAACCCAGGCAGATTTCGTCAAATACCTGCTTGCGCGGCCGTTTCAGAAGTCGAGCAGGCTCTATCCTGGATTAAGCGTTACGGGCCAGCCGTGGTAGTTCCAACGATAGAGCTTCTGCTGTTGACGAGACCAAAAGCAACACCAGAACCGTCGTTCAGCCTGTATAGACAGCTGTGTACCGACGTGCGTCTCAGCAGAAGTACTGGGTACTGGTTACCCTGTGCAAGGATCCGTGCTCGTTCGTCCACAGTTGAGCGTCCCACAGGAGTGGTCAGCGCATCCACGAGGACTTAGTGCGAGGCTAACGAGACATTTTTTCTCATGATCTGCAAAGATTGACTATCTGCCGCATTAGCTTTGGATCAGCACGACGATTCGCCTTTTCCAAGATGATGTCTTGCGTACGTCGCCCCTGTCGCAGGAAGATCGCTACTGTTCCTCGAGTCCTGTGAGTCAGCGCATACGACTGCAGAGAGCGAAAGGGGGAGCAGAGTACGGATCGGAGTAGACAACAGGATGTATGTTGCAAGGCTGCTGTACCCTATTGAGCTGTGAGTTCCAGAACGCCGCAGAAGCCGAGCAGTGGGGAGCAAGCCTCGGATGCCCGGCCATCTTACGGGAAATGTGGCTTGCCCATCACCAGGGCTGGTAAGAAAGGCACCCGCGCCCGTGGCTTGCTGCTTCAGCTCATCCGGGAGCCACACAAGAACTCCGCACGGTCCAGAACATCACGGAATCCTCCAGCCCCCCAACTCGGGGCCGCCTAACGACTTCCTCGCACTGGGTGTATGAGCTCTACAACGTCTTCATCCAGATCGTGCGTGTACTCGTACAGTGCTTACAAGAGACTGGCTTGCGCTTTAAGTGGGACGCAGACCGCGCCGGGGGCTTGGAGGCCCATCCAAATAAGCGACGGGCACGCAACGGGGATGTCTCTACCAAATCAGAGACGAGAACTGACTCATTGCTCGAATGTCGCCACAGTAGATTTTCTGGCCAGTGCGAGGTACTGTACCAACTAGTATCTTCTTGATCCTCCTGTTCCCCGACGAGGGTATGCTCTTGTGTGGTACCGTGTACACTGGCACAAGTACACAGCACATCTTGGGGCCGGGCCTGGCTTCCCAAAGGAGACGCGAACACAGCCACTACCGAGTCTATCTCCGGTCGACCCACCCTCGTGCTTAGCGACAATCTATACCAGGTAGGAGTACATTGCATCTTGCTGTTCTGCTGTGCTTTTGATACGACCACGGCTAGGATGTGAATTCCGGCGCTGTCCAGGCAGGAGGCTGCGTTCGCCCACTGCGGCTCCTGGCCTAACGGTAAGTGAGCCTTCCCGTGCCAGATCGACTCTCCTGGCGAGGGGGATTGCTGCCATTGCTGCGACTCTGCCATATCCACACCTGCTCCTTCCAGGCCTTGGGCATCGCATCCCAGATCCGGACCAATTACGCCCTTCCAGCGTCGCTATCAGCCCACCGGTCGAAGCTGCAGTTCGCGACCGGAAATTCCCCTTTCCCATGCAGCTTTTCGCTGCCATACTGCGGGTTGATTCTGTCAGACTGGCCACCCTGGCGCCTTCTTCAGGCTCGAGCATCGCAATACCGTTGGCCTCTGTGTCAGTCCTGATCATCTTCCACCTCGACCGGGGCTCCATCCCGGCTGTTCCCAATCACGCTTTTACGGTTCGTTTTGGCCACTGACTGCAGTGGACCCTGGCGCCGTTGTCGAATTTTACTTGCTATGTCCCACTGGCTTTAGTACATTGTGCGTCGCTATCCCCGCCAGTCATTAGCATCCATGCTACTGAGCCCAGATATGAGACACGGTTGGGCGTGACTCCCGTCCTTAACCATCACTTCTTTCACCAAACGTCCATCAGACCAATGACCCTACGAAGCGGCCGTTGGACACTGCCACGAGAGAGAACCCTTCCTCTTCTAGCCCTGTGAAACACCCAGAGCACCCCTGTCGACCACGTTCACTTCCAAATTTGGCGCCGACCTGTGTGTTTCATTTCCCTTCTTGAACAGACGAACGAGCGAAAAGAATTCTCAACAGAATCCTCTTAACCACCGACAAGAGCATCCGGATCCCTCCTGATCCGTGCTCAGCCTGCTGCTGGCTTCGAGTAAGATCGGCTCTACTACATCCCTAGCCTAGGTATACCTATTTGAGGTACTCTCTTTTGGCGCTTAATCTGCTGTCTCACCATCAAGCAATATGGACTGACTGATGGCTGTCTTCTGGGTACAGCATTATTACACCCTCCCTATTATATTTGAGGATTTCGGAATGGGTGATGAACCTCCACTTCGACCAAATCTCATCTCGCAAACAGGCGACGAGCAATCCTCGAAAGGTATGTGCTGTGTTGTGCTTCCTGATCGCGGTAACCCACCTAGCTAACTGGACCAGACCGACCGCTGCAAGCATCACTCCCTGGCACCAGCTTGGCTCCGGGACAGCCCTCCAACATGGAGTTCGAATCGTATCCTCGACAGCATTTCCCCATGGGCAACTTTGCGGGTACGGGAACGCTTGACATGTCGACGATGGCTGCCGCCTTGCCCGACTATCAAATGCGACAGTACCAGCAACAACCATACGCTCAGCACTACCAGTCCTCCAGTGCTCCAAACCCGTCCGTGATGTACCAATACCACCAAGGCGCGCAGTTTGCCGGCCAGGCTGCCGCGACCCCAAGCCATTCGTTTGCGCAACAATATCCATCGCCGTTTGTTCAGGGCGCGCCGGCACGACCACAGCAGGGAGCAGCCTACTCACATTTTGTCACGAATACAGGCCTTGCGGCTGGCCCACAGCCCTTTCAAAACCAATCTTTTCTTCTGCAACAGCCGGTGCTACATCACTCGGGGACGGCAAGCCAGCACCATCACCAGCAGCAGCCGCCTCATTTCCCACAGGCTCACGGATCTTCAGCCTACGGTGTCCCATACGGGACAGGGATCGCATCTGGCTACACGCTTCCGCAAGTGCGGCTGGACAATAGTATGGCACAGGTTCAAACCTCAAACGTTTATCCACAGCTGAACCCCCAAGGTATGGAGCCATCCCTGTCACGCAGGCTCCTCGATGACTGACCTTTTGTGACATGCATAGCCGTGAGAAGAAGCAGCTCAAACTCGTCTCTGCAGACCTCTGCGCTCCGAGGGCCACCTAGAAAACCCAGGCAATCTGGCCATGCGCTTTGGGTGGGAAACTTGCCGCCTGCAACCCATATAATCGACCTGAAAGACCATTTCGCTCGGGATGCGACAGAGGACATCGAGAGTGTCTTTCTGATCTCGAAGAGCAACTGTGCTTTTGTGAATTATCGCACCGAGGCCAGTTGTGCAGCTGCCATGACTCGCTTCCACGACTCCAGGTTCCAAGGCGTGCGACTAGTGTGCCGGCTCCGACGTGGAAGCGCTTCCACAGCGACCTCAACGCAAACCGGGGCACATCAGTCGGCATCAGCCGAAGAAGGCGAGACACCAGAAGCTGGTGGCAAAGATGCAGCAGTAATTGACGGAACAATCACTGCGGAGCCTGAACCGATGGGGAAGGTAAAGGAGAAGTTCTTTGTTGTGAAGAGCCTGACGGTGGAGGATCTGGAGCGTAGTGTGGTCAGTGGGATATGGGCCACGCAGGCTCATAATGAGGTCGCTTTGAACAACGCGTACCAGGTAAGAGTGCCGTCCATGCTCGTTGACTTGATGCTGACACCGTTGACAGACTGCCGAGAATGTCTACCTGGTCTTTTCTGCGAACAAATCTGGCGAGTATTTTGGTTATGCTCGGATGGAGTCTGCCATCGACGACGAGTCTGTCACCAGCGTCGAAATCCAGCCACGGCCAGAGGCACCAGAGCCGAGCCCAGCTGATCTGCCTTTGACCATCCCGACCCCAGCCACTGCGACAGCGCCTAAAGGACGAATCATCGATGATTCGGCCCGCGGGACGATCTTCTGGGAGGCAGACACGGCCACGCAAGAGAAAGAAGAACAACACACGGATGAAGAGGCCGGCAACATATCAGGCGAAGGTTACGAGTCGGCCAGCCCAGGCACCCCACAAACTTTTGGGAAGCCTTTCAAGATCAAGTGGATGTCGACCGATCGCCTGCCGTTTTACAGGACGAGAGGTCTGCGAAACCCCTTGAACGCCAACCGCGAGGTCAAGATTGCCCGCGACGGCACCGAGATCGAACCCAGTGTTGGCCGGCGGCTGGTCAACATGTTCCACCGTCCTCCAGTGCCATCTGCAAGCCCTGGTGCGACTCGACCACAGCCTCCTCCTCCAGGACCTATGGGGGGTTTCATGTCTCCTCATGGCGCCGCACCAGGAGGCATGTATGGCCGGAGCTACTGATTTTTCTTCGACATTGTTCTTTATGTATAGCTTCGCTACTGCGATGTCTCATGTTTGTACGATGACATGATGCCACGACAAGAAAAGCAAGTGGGACGGCATTTCCAAGCAACGATATGGGGGCATTGGTGATGACTTCCAAAGGATTTCTTTTGACCACAGAACACGACACACAAGCTTGGCAGGCCAAGCCTTCTTCTCGAAATCCTCTTGGATAGGACTGTTTAATGACCATCACGGAGTTGAGGAAAGGCTGGAAGGAGGCAGGTCGGGGGATAGAGGTGATGAGCCGCAGGAGAAGTGTGCACAGAAGGTATACATGATGCACGGCCATGCCTCGTCGCTGGGGGTCTGGGTCGACAGTGCCATAGATCCGGAATCATCAGGTTGCTGAATCGAGTGCATGGGCCAATTCGACAAAGTCTTCGTCTCCAGCTGCCGCCAATCGTCGAAATTCGCCCATGTTCGACGCGTGAGCCATCGCTCTTCCTCGCGCAGCTAGAAAGTCTTCAGCACGCGGACGGACAAGGTGGGCGGCACAGTCGTAGAACAGATATACCATCGGTCTAGCGATAGACACACTGGAGAGCCGTAATCAAAGACCCCAGAAGCCAAACCGTGCGCAAGGTCGGCTCCGCTCGCCTTCACGCGCCCACGACACGCTCCCACACCTTGACCAACTCCGTACGATGCTCGTCGTACGTGTCCTTCGATCGCTGTTCCCCGTGCCTCGTACGCAACATCAACCCATTATACAGGACGCTCTTGCCACAACGGATGATCACCTGGCCGCGCGCACCCGTGTACCACACATCGATGAAGAACCTGGGCGTCTTGAACCACATGGAGTGTGCGTCCGTGAACCCCTTAGCCAGGCTTTCTTATTTGCTCTTCAGTCAGTCAGACAGAGAGGTGATGTGCTCGATGTAGAGATGCAGGGCGGGCTCGGCATTAGCTCGAAAGGAAAGAGAGACTAGTAAGTGGGTTGTGGTAAACCGAGTAAAGCGAGGTACGAGGTGTTAGAAATTTTTCCACGTCCAGACGGAGTATTCTGTATGGTGTCCCTATGTCCAGCGTTTTGCGTTCTATACAGCCAAATTCACCCTTGTTTTATACCTTGGTACTAACGCGATGGACAGGGCAGGTCATAGAGCTCAGCAGTCTCGTGGGTGCGAAATCCTGTAGATTAGGTGCCATACGGCCATTGTACTGTAGCAGCTAATTACTGAACCAAAGTCCAAAAGATGACTTAGGTAAGCAGCCCCCTGGACTTGTCAAACTGACCAAACTCGGCAAACACACCAAACCTTCTTGGCTGCACCTGTGTCTCTTTGTTACTGAGACATGTCAAGTTCCCTGTCCCGTTCCTGTTCCTGTCCATCATGTCTGTCGTGGTCGCTGCCTGTGACTTGGCTTTCTGGACGGGTGGACTACGTGGGCGATACGGAGTAATTATGTATTCTTTTAAGCACCTAGCCAAGCCACGCGTACACTCGACGATATGACGAAGTACTTTACCTACCTAGGTACCTACAGTGTACGGAGTACCTCTGCTGCCAGAAGGGCATGATTAATCTGAATCAAATTTACTCCCGCTCCCGCTCTACTCGGTGGATTTACAGAGATTGACAATAAGCAGCAAGTCGTTTCGTGGCGAATTGTGCTGCGGCATGACTCGCCGTATTTCTTCACCTGTCCGCTTTGCCAAGCAGGCATCGCATCACAATGCCTTCCATGAAGTGCGCTCCATCGACAAGACAGGCCGGAAGGGGACACTTTCAAGGTGTTTGCCAAGGCATCATCCCAACGGACCTCACGGCATCCTCGCTGTCGGGATGGCAGTGGTACCAGCACCCGAACTAGAAGTACTCTGACGTTGCTCACTAGGCTGAGGAAAGAACTCTGCCCCCGCAGAAGATACAACGCATGGATGCCGCGAACGATGATCAGCGAGGTCCCTCTGCCCCCAAAGAAGACGTCCCTCTGTTGGTAAAGTGACTACTTAAACGAGGAGAGAGTTACTGATCAACCGAAATCCGCTCTCAGTAAAGCTACCATCGCTGGCGACCCAACCTGATATCAAGCAAACACAGTCTCATCCATTCCGCTGGCGCCGGCCATCGCGCAGTATCTATCTACTATGGTACCTCAAACATATTCCTCGGGCTGGCTGTTGTCCGCCCGCCGACGGCCCTCGCCCCTCTCTAGATAGACTTGACACAAATCACTGTAGCACGCAATACTGTCATGACCATCACCGTCACTATCACCAGGACCGGGCCATACTCTCGTGATGGGATGCAGAATTTCGTACGGTAGTACTGTTAAGTGCCACTCACCCACCCTGTAACGTATACACTCACCCACCCTGTAACGTATACATACACAGCTGCATACACACGTACAAACAAAATAGATGTTATCGGGAACCCCGAACAGCGCGCCCTGCATGGATGCAACATGCGATGAGCAACGCTGGTATTGTCGCCCACCGAGAACACAGAAGCCAAAAGACAGAAATGCAGTGGGGCGAATACCGGAAAGTATACTCAGTATGCGCACGCTTAGCCTCCTACATACCTCTAGCCTTCAACTTTCAACCCACGAACTCCGATCCTCGGTCTTCAGCATTCAGCGCGATGGTCAAGGAAATTAGGTACCTAGCTAAGCATAAAGTAGAATTCCTTGTGCATACGATCGTCCCACCCAGACAGACAGAGCGGACAGACACTTCGATCCGGAGTACCGTCTCAGAACACGGAATAATTACCTAGGTACCCAGGTACCTACAGTGGACATGTTTCCGCTTCGGAGAAACAAGCGTGTAGGGCACGGCAGGTTGTCGAGTCGCCCTTTTGCCCCCTTCCACCCTCGACGTCGTCAAAATGAAACGTTTTGCGCAAACTACAGTAATGCAAAGTACTACTGGCTACGTACCTATGAGCGGCGGGCGCGCGACCTCTTGCCTACTGGGGTACCAAAAAATTGCGCCAACCCTGTTTGTTTGCACATGCTCCGTCCGGTCAAGAGGGTTCGACAATATCTTCCGTATCTTGCCCTGTACATTGTTGCCGTTGGCTTGTGGGAGCGGCGGAGGAAGACCACATGGCGTGTTTTCAATCGACGGATTCGGGCTCAGTACTGTGTCTGTTTCCAGTCACACTCCCGTCCTCTGCCGAGAAGCGTGGCGTGGCGCGGAGCGGAGCGGCGCGGATTAGGGATAGGGCGGGAGTGGAGCGGGGTGCTCTGCTGCCACACGAGTACTCGTAGCTGTAGCCGTATTGTATGGAATCTAGCCGCCATGGAAGAGTCTATCTATGGAAGAGTCTACCTATGGAAGGGTGACTGGTGAGATCCTCGAGACAGATGGTTGTCCGTCAGCCTTCACGTCTGTCACGACTTTTTCGACCTCAGGCAACCGGGTGCCGGTTAGTGAACCAGTAGGACCCTCGGACCACCATTGCAGAAGCAGGGGCGAGAGATCAGGATTCATGACCTCAAGCACCTTCCCTGGAGGGCGAAATGAATTCAAGCAGAATTTGAAAAGCAACTGACGGGTGCGTCGTCTCGTAAACCGTAAGCGATCGGCATCATGCCTGAGTTCTCCTGCTGTTCTAAAGGAGACGCTATTCACACATTGTCCTCGCTATAACGCCAGATATGCTCATGCAGTAGAGTGCCACATGATTGAACGCCATTGTCATGCCATGCCAGGCCGGGCAACTATCTCGAAATGTCTCAGTCATCAAGCCCACTTGCCGAGTAACGCCATAAGTCCTGCACCAAGACACATCGTAACAAACGCCGAAATGACGGTCCGGATGCTCGCCCTGCGCATAGAATTGCTGAACATGAATTCGTGAGCCATCAACTCCACCAGTCCAGTGTAAATCAGGATGCCCGCCGACACAGAGTCGAACACGCCATTGACAATGAGGGTTGTCTTGGAACCCGGAGGGTATGTATTCCGCACACCCAGGCCGATGGCAATCGCGAGGGGCGTGCTCAGACCGTATGCTAATGCGAGTAGGTACGGTGTCCATCGTCGATCCTTGGGCCATGGTGTCACGGCAAGTCGCGAACCCAGACCAAGACCTTCGAAGGTTTGGTGGAAGATGATGACGATGAATAAGGTGTTAAATTCCTCTCCTGCTACTGCTAGCGTGAGGCCAATGAAGATGCTGTGGAATATGATGCCAAATTCGAGGATGAAGATGGCTGTCATCTGCGCCTTGTAGTCTTCGAGGTTGAAGGGGTTGGCAACGTCTTCGATCTCAGAGTGTTCCCTCACATGGCCCATGTGGTCCTCTCCCGGCACGTGCGTGCTGGCAGATCGGTGCTGTCGGGTATTTGACGGTAGAGTGAGAGTAGCGGGGGTGTCTTTGTAGGGTGACAATGTGCCTGCCGCGTGGACAGTGCCTTCTGTGTCGGGTGTAGATCGTTCCAGCTCATACTGATGTCCCCGTCCGTCTTCGTGCTCATGCTCGTGGTCATGCGGATGCCCCCCAAAAGTCCCATACCTCATGACCATTAGCTCAACAAAGAAGAGGACAAAAACGGTCATGAGAACTATGCCCTCGGCCCAGTCGTATTCTGTTATCGGTCCCGTCAGACAAGGATCCGTCAAGGCGTCAATGGCGGGAGCTAATAGGTGTATGAACGCAGTCGCAATAATGACACCTGAGCCAAAGTATTTGCATATGAAGAACACCCATTCTGGAACCTTTAGGCCTCGGTGCCTGTTCGCGAAGATGGGAAAGACTGCGCCTATCGAAGAGGTAACCCAGATGATAAAGAGGGCGGCTATCCGCAGGCCAATGCGACCGTCATATTCGTTTCCGGTGTCACAAGAGGGTGGCCCGCTACTGTCGTCTTGCCGTGGGACGAGGTGTGCAAAAGCCTCGAGGGTGGTCATAGCGTTTGGTGTGGGATGATTACTGGGCGCTTGGACAGATTTCTGCAAGGTTCCGAAGGCGAGGAGCAGCTATGGGATATATCGGTCTGCGAGTACGTGGAGGGATCTACTTCAACTATATGTGAGCCATGGCAGAGCCACGCACAGGAATCGAGGACCTTACCTATACGAATATGGGTCTTGACTAAGGTGAGATTTGGAGACGCTGTAGTCAAGTTCCACACGGTCCAACAGACCTAGTGCGTTGAATACAGATGTTACTGGCTTAAACGAAATTCGAGGCAAGGATGAAAAGAAAATGAGTACAGTAACCACAGCTTAGTGTTACCACCACAAAGGTTGTGGTTTAAAATCGCCGTGGACAAACGCAATCTTCTACCTTCGCCCCGCTCCAACTGGAGCCGGGAGAGGAAGTCGCTATCACTGCATGAGGTGAACGAAGCGGAGGTGCAGAGCGACGAAAAGTGAGGACCTTAAAGATGCTGAGGTATGTCACTTTGCGACCCAATCAGAGGGCGCACAATGAACGAGGCTCCGCATGAACCCCACGCTTGTTATTGGCCCGTGGCGCAATTGCCAGGTACCGGCGGACGCTGATTCGTTCACCTTTCCCCAAGTCCGTCTTCGGATTTTTAATCCTTGCTCAACTGTTCGTCACGGCCGAACATTTCGACTTCCAAATCGTCAGCTGGCAAGCTTCGTCACAGCCAGGCTCTTTACATCTGCCAGACACAGTTCTACCCCGTTCTGCACGATGGCATGGGCCCCACGTGATCAGTACATCCACATCCCATCCGAGTAGCATCAACGTCAGCGCGTGCAGCGACACGTGCATGAGGATACAACGGATCCTTCCGCCAGATAAGGCTGGTCTCGGCATATCTTAAGGTCCTCACTTTTCACATTTGGCCCGTCCTCCTATCATCTTCCTCCATCCCACGGCGCCATGGAACCGTAGTTGTGTCGAGTCTGATAACCGGTTGAGCCTGACACAGCCTTTCTCCAAATTTGTGGTAATCGTGCATATGCCTTCGGCAACACTGCGCGAGGTCACCTTCCACTTATGACCCAGACTGGCACACCTCGACGCCGGGAATCGGTAGCTGTACCCTTGGGTGTGCTTTCCACCACAAGCATTCCATCAGCCTAGGCCGAGAAGGGCTCCGGCTTCACCAAATCGTGTTTGGCTAGGTGTTGGTCGGCTCCATCGAGGTAGCCGTAGTATTCCTTCATGCATCAACCACGAGATCAAGCCTGCGGACGCAAAAGTGGCTGTGAGGATGTCAACATAGATTTCTCGCCGTCGCTGCAATCGCGCCATTTGGAGGTGTTTCTCTCTGTATCGACCACGATCTGTTGCATGCAGGTACCAGATCTCTGATCCCGAAAAGTAAGATCCGAGGGCGGGTAAGGAGCCGATGCATCCCTCCAGAAGCTCGTGGCATATTTGTGGCATACTTCTCGGAGTACACCCTTCCCACGGCAGTGTTGGTGATTTGCTGCTAGGCGTCCCGAATGGTTCAGCAATCTGCCTTCGTGCCCACTCATCCAACCTTGTATGCTTGCTCCGAAGGGACTCGCTCAACCACCCATGCTGCAGCTGGGGTCTCTGCATAAGCGCCAAATAGCCGATCGCCAGACAGTCGGCACTATTTGTAGGGCCACCAAGCAGCGAAGGCTTCTCGCCCAGCATTTCGCTTAGTGGATCGAAGAAATCATCCGTGACTGCGTCCAAGCGAAAACGGTTCTTCTGCTGGTTCCGACCAAGTAGACCGGTGACTGTCTGCTTTGGTTTCCGCAAAGATTTGGGTATATGAGCAGTCAAGCCTAAATTTTCCTTCTTGTCCTCTTCCTCTTGTGCGGTATCCACGTCTAAACTGCTCAAGCCCAGGTGTTCCGATCGTTTCTTTGCTCCTTCACGCAGTCGATGTGGTATGGTCCAGCTGTTCGGCCAGGTCAAGATAGCTGCCAATGCGGGTCGCGTGGAATTGTGGTAGTTGTCGCTGCTCACATAGAGGCTCAGGTCGAGGAGTGGTTGGCCGCGAGAAATGATGAAGGCTGTCAACGCCGCCTTGTCGGCTTGCTGTTGGACGTCGAGTTCTTGATCGAGGTCCCATTTGCCACGGGAGATATCACGCAGATAGCTGATGATGTTGAGATATCCAGCAACCCAGACATCACCGTCAAGCAGAGCAGGAAGTTCTCGAAGTGGACTGACGCGCGGGTTGCTTGACGGCACAAGCACCCAGTCTCGGTTCTGTAAACAGCTGCGCAAATAGAGGATTGCTGCCAGGCATTGTGCATCAATAGAGGGCAGCTCGAAAGCCGGTCCCCAGACGTGCAGCTCAAGCACCATCTCTGAGGTACATTTTCTTTGTGAGAGGATGACAACGGCACTTTAAACGCGAAATGCACAAACTGCCCTATTGGTTTAGCGTCTACGGTGCAGCGTGTGATGGAGAGGAGAGGCGCTCCCCAAGTACTGGGTACTACGGTGGATGACAGACAGGCAAGGGCATTCTCGCTGCTCATTCCAGCCATTCATTGCCTGTGGCTGCTGTGAGCAGTAGATTTCGTCAGACGAAGATGCATACCTAGTGATATTGAGGCATCCCGCTTGTCAGACGCAACCACCCACATGAGACGGGGAGGGCGTGTCACCGATCGCTCGCCACCAACTCTCCACCCTTCCTCGACAATACGAGTAGATCAACCAAAACTCGTTTGATCCTGGCCTGCCATATGGTTAGTCGAGGACGGAGTGGCGCGCCGCCAGATCTCTGATGCATGAATCAATTCCGCTTGGGCCAGTCTCTCGGCACGTTCTCATCAGCGTCATTCCGAAGAAGTCATAATGAGACACTGATTGACAGCCTTGCGCATCAGAAGAATACCACCTTCGCATGGGCCAGGACCCAGGCCGGCGAAGATGAACAGGATGCCGCCTCCGGAAGCAAGAGGCCACCTCCGTACATTGCCCATCAAGCAGGTGTAAATTGCGTTGCCATCGATCACATCGAGGGTCGTTATTTGTTTTCGGGAGGAGCGGATTCCGCCATTCGGCTCTGGGACCTTGAGGAACACGTTCAGGAACAGTCATCAGGCTCATCGACGATAACAAAATACACTCCCAAGGCGACACTTACCAAAGCCAACCTAGACTCCCACACTCACGCCTTGACGACCCTCTCAATCTACCCATTCGACCCCACCCCCTCGACCCTCCTTTCAACCTCCTACGACAAAACGCTAAAAGTCCATAGTATAAGTCCCGCCTCAATAGCACCGGTTCACACTTTCCAACTCGACTTTACGCCCCACACCCATTCTATTTCTCCTCTTCCCAGCTCTCCTCCCCTGATCGCAGTCGGCACAGCTCACCCTGCCATCCGTCTATTAGACCTTCGGTCAGGTCTGAGCACCCATAGCCTAACCGGGCCCAATGGCGCAGTATACGCCTCCGCCTGGTCACCGAAGGTCTCCCACATCCTCGCCTCTGGCTCCACGGATGGAAAGGTCTTGTTCTTCGATATCCGGCGGGCAAACGCAGCGTTTGCATCCCTGGATCTCGACGACGCAATTGGCGTGATCGGCACATCATCAACCCAGGGGCTAGGCGCTCGAAAGGATTTGCTCGATTTTAACGCCGTGGCGCACAACGGTCCCGTCACATCGATCCAATGGAATGCGTTAGGTGACAAAATCATCACAAGCGGCCACGACCAACGGATCCGTGTCTGGGATGCCGCTTCCGGTCGAAACGACTTGGTACACTTTGGCCCACGAATCCGAAATGAACGACAAGGAGAATTAAAACCTCTCCTATCACCAGCAACATTTCATCGTCCAGGACAGGAAAATCTCTGGTGGCCGAACGATGACGGCAAGGGGATGATCTTTCAGCACCATTTGCGGGAAGGCCAGCTGTTAAAGATTCTGAGGGCCGAGGGTGTTCAAATTGGGGACGTGCAGCAAAAACTGAAACGGGGCAAGGTTGGAGCATCGAACCTAGGGCGGCCAACAGGTGGGGGCAGGATCAATGCCATGGTATGGCGAATCAATGCCCCAACAGGTGAAGGGGTCGAGATGTACACCGCGCATGGCGACGGCAGAATATGCGGGTGGCTGCCCTCGATCGTAGTTGAGGATGAGCATGATATTGAAGACGAAGGGAGAGACAAGTCAGCGCAACCTGAGATCAACGAGGCGGAGAGCACCGCGGTTGTTATTGCTGATGAGGCTGAGCAAAAGAGGAAACGCAAGAGAGACATGCTGGAAGATATGCTAGGCGGACTCTCGAAACAGGCTTTGCGGTTTGGTTGAAAGAAACAGAACATTCGTATCGACGTTCAATTCTCCCCGTAGCAAGAAAGAGGGGGATTCCGTCCATCTGAATACGCGTACTCTGTCAGAGTCGTGAGGATCAGAATCCAGATCAACTCATTAGCTGGCGGGATTGATACAGGCTTCTTCGGTTTCAAAAAGCAAATAAGCGTTCTAGAGGCGGTGCGAATGCGCTTTGGACCTGAAATGTGTGCAACAAAATTGCCCAACAGCATCTGATCTGTCTTCTCCTTCATGTGTCCGATCTGAGCGTTGCACGACAGCGACTTTCAGAGGTATCTAGAAACTATGAATCAACGAGCAGTCACCAGAGCCGGAGGCGAGATCAGCCTGACAAAACCAGAACTGAAACGATGTTCTGCCTACTGTAGCTCAGCCTCTAGGTCAGGCTCTTTTGCTGCCTGCGCTCGAGACATCACACCACCCGCACGACGTCCTTGGAAGGCACGGAAGGGTACCTGTGATCTGCACAACAGCGCATAGCGGCAGCATTTTGATGTCGCATGTTACCCCCTTGCGCCGAGATTCTCCGGGAACAGAGTCGCACAAGACCTCTACCGATAATTACACTAGATGGGGTCTCGCGCAGAAGATCCAGGGACGACCGCGAAGGCTAGACGAGAGAGAAGAACAACACGTCGTCATACAGGGTGCAGACCCTGCATTTCGAGCTTGCTCACTCGTACCTCGAACGGGTTATTTGCTTCTTCTGCCCTGCATGAGGTCTGCATAATGGCTTTCCGGGGGAGCTTGACGCCTATTGTGTGCGATGGCGGTGCCCGAAGAATGGCTGCGGTGGTCGCTCGGGTCAAATGACGCAACAAATCGCCGGGGTTGAGGGCTAGACGCGGGCTAGGTGAGGACTACCGGGTAGGTGACGGTGAGGTGAGAGTGAAGGCTTCTCGCACATGCCAGCTGAATCACAAGGATCCCCACCATCACATCAAGTGGGAGCATGGCTGCCAACCTTTGCCAGCTCCCAGTCACGCCTGCGTGGGTCATTGGGCTGCAATGATCTCAAGTGCATGAGGCTGCCTTGGCCCCTGTCTGCTGATACTGTACTCGTATTCTATTCTATTCGGACGAGGCAATTTTTGAGATTTACATTTCCCCAGCTTTGTGCTTCCAGACCGCCGCTTTCTCTTCTCTTCTCCTCACTTCAACGTTGACCATCAACCACACTCAATGTCTTCTCACGACGACAACCCACCCCGCTCACGCAGGGACCGGCCAAGATATGATACTGATGGCGGTCTCAAATATCCCGACGACGCTGACGATAAAGCTGCCCCTCGTCGACCTCGGTACGAGACGTCCCCTCCACCTATCGAGCCCCGCGACGCCAAAGATGACAGGGCAGGCAAGTCTAATACTGCTGCACCCAGAAGAAGGAGGAGTCTCGATGATGATGACGACGACTACCCACCTCGTCATGCGTCGCACGGTCACGGCAATGGAGAAGCGTACGGTCGCTCCAAGGGCTACCGCCAACCCATTCCCCCAGCAGAAGAGGTAGACGATGCAAAAGGCCGGTCCTCCAGGCGCAGAGGCTACGATGATGACTTCGACGCCCCTCCACCACGCCGTGCCAACACGCAAAGAGAGCCGGATCGTCACAGGCGAGACGATCCATATGACCGTGAACCACCTCGTCGACGAGCCAGCCCCGGAGACAAGTACTATTCTGACCGCGACAAGGGCTACAGGTCCCACGATGACCGAGACCGGCGCAGAAGGGACGACGATCGCTATGACGATCGCAGACACCGCGGAGGTGGTGGAGGTTACGCCTCCGATCGAGACTACGGACGTTCTGACCGTGACAGACGGGATCGAGACAGAGACCGTGACCTCCGTGACCGTGATAGGGATCGTTATGGCGACAGGGACAGGGACCGAGATCGGGATCGAGACCGCCGCCGCCACGACTCGGACCGAGACCGAGATCGCCACCGCGGTGGGGACAGAGATCGAGATCGGGATCGTGACCGCTATGACAGCCGCGACAGAGACAGGAGGGATAAAAAGAAAGGATTTTCTCTCGATAATGTCAACGACATTGTCGAATTGGGACAGAAGCACTACAAGACGGTCGCCCCGATCATCAGCAGTCTCAGCAAGATGTATTTCGACAAGAAATGACGAGGTCAAAGCCAGTAAATATGATGAACAGACGATCAGCTGGGCTGGCCAACGGCACGAGTTGGCGGTATTGAGACCATGACAGCCACATCAGAGTCTTAATTTGTCCCAGTTGCGTCATCAGAAGGAGAGACCCCAGGAGTGGTTCCCTTTCTGCACCACAATCCGCTATATATCAAGCATGCCACATCTTCAACAGCGGACGGAAGAAGTACGAACGATCAAGATCACGATGAAGGGCCCGGGTAGGCATTCGAGGCCACTAGGGGCAGCGTGGGCATGTATGAGTATCGGAAAGGAACGGGCTGGGCGGAGTGAACTGGATATGGTTTTCCTTTTGGCACCACCCATGGAATTACAAATGGCAGCACGTTGAACATAAGGGCATCAGTGCGCACCCACCTCTTCTTTGTTGTTTGCTGATTGCTAGCATTGGCAAACGCAGTGAGATAGTTCTTATGGTGAAGTCTCCTTCCATCTGGAAGTAACTTCACCGTCAATCTTCAGTATCACAGTCAGTCTATTCAAGTGCGGCATGTTGAACAAAGCATGGTCATACTCGGACCATTCCTGGTTATCTTTCAATTCAGTTCAGTTCAGTTCAGTTCAGTTCAGTTCAACTATATTTAATTGTGATTTCACTTTCTGCTCGATGTGATGGGAAGGGAAACCCACATCCATCTTCACTGCCCCTGCCACTGCCACTACTGTACTCGTACATGAAAGTAGGGTCGAGATACAGTAAGACCAGATCCAATCCATTCTGCGCTGCGTCCGAAAAAGTGAAAATATCTGCGCTGTGCAATGCTGGGATACTGTGTGCCTAATACATTTATAGATTCTGATTGATTAATTAATTCATTAAATAGCTAGCTAACTGCCTGCCTGCCTGCCTGCCTGAATGACTGATTGAGCGATCAAACTACTATTTGAGTGATTCAAAGGCCACGCCATTCCGTCTTCTGGTCATCGTGCCTGATCAAACCCGCTTCCATCAGCATGTCTTGCCGGCTAGTCATAGCCTGAATTGGCGGACCACTCTCCTCATACGACGCGCCCTTACGCCTTCACGGTCTCGAAACCCGCGAAGCTGGGCAGCACGGCGCGGATCTCCTTGATATATTCGGGAATGCCGCCGGTGTAGTTGACCGCCTCGAATGCCTTGCCCGGCACGCTTCCGCCCATATCTGCGAGAGTGCAATAAGGTCAGTGGGTCGTGATGATGAATGACGAGACGTGGGGAACAATGGAATGTATGGACAGTGGCGGTGAGCACGACCACGGTGATCACTTACAGGTACTCCGCGTGGTGGGCAAGAGGGTCATATCCGACAACTCGTTGATGCGGGTCTTCCACTTCTGGCTGGCTTCCTGGGTGGGGTTGATGTACTTGAACCCTTGGCGGTCGATGAGTTTGATGGCGTCGCGGATCCAGCGGCCTTGGACTTCAACGGCGGTGGGGCCATTGGCAAGCACTGGCGGCATGATTGTGTTAGCGATGGCGATGAAGCTTGTGTGTGAGAGATGGGACGACGGAAGGGAAGAGACAGATTAGTATCAGGACTTACGCGTCGGTCCCTGCGGGCCGTAGAGATGGAACATGTTCGGATACCCGGAGATGGTGGTGCCCAGATACGTGTATGCGGCTTTTCTCCATTCGTCCTGTAAAGTGGTGCCGTGAATGGACTTCAGGCCCATGTTCGTCATGCCTCCGGTGGTGATGTCGAAGCCTGTAGCCAGGGCGATGATATCAAACTCGTGGTGTTTACCATCGCTTGTCTTGATGCCGGTTTCGGTGAATTCTTCGATCTTAACACCGCCTTTTTCTGAGATGTCCACGATCGTCACGTTGTCTCGGTCCAGGACTTCGAAGTAGTTCTGCTCGAGGCATGGTCGCTTGATGCCGAATGCGTGGGGTGGTTCCTCAGGGATCAGAAGGGCGCGCTTCTCGGGATTTTTGACGCGTGGGGCTTGCTTCTTCTGCCAGAAATCGTAGACACAACGGTTAGCTTTCATGTCGAAGAGATAATCTTTGTGGCTGCCGAGCCATAGTGCGAAGCCAGCCTTCTTCCACAGACGCTCGTACACGGCTTCGCGTTCTTCTGGGGTATCTTCGAAGGTGTTGCGTTCCTCGAAGTCGTAAGTAAAGCCCGCGAAATTGCATTCGCGCATACGCATCAGGTCGGGATACGCTGGGTACAGTGCCTCTTGCTCTGCCTTGGTCATATCCCGCTTACCCATCGGGAGGGCTAGGTTGGGGGTGCGCTGGAACACGGTCAAGTGCTCGGCACAAGGACCCCATTCCTGGATCATCTGCACACCAGAGGCGCCTGTGCCGATGATGGCCACTCGCTTGCCATTGGCATTGACTCCCTCTGGCGGCCAGAACGAGGAGTGATGCATGATGCCCTTGAACTTTTCCATGCTGGGGTAGTCTGGAATGTAGCGCTTCGCAGCAAATCCGGCGGCGATGATCAGATACTTGGCTTTGGCGGTACGGCCATCTGCGGTCTTGACGGTCCATTTCCCGGAATTGGTGTCAAACTCGGAGCTTATCACGACGCTTTCGAATGCGCAGTCTTTGCTAAGGTTGCAGACCTTGTCGACGTGGTCGAAATATGCCTGAAGCTCGTGGTACTATAAAGCCGTCAGAACATGTGTTAACTTGACCAGAAGTGAAGGTACTGTAGCGAGGAAGAGAAGAGATTGCCATCCAGTGTCTCGCTAGGTAGGCACTGGTCGTCGAGACACAGTGTTGAGGTCAATGGATACGTACGTCTGGATAGTTGGTCGTCCACGTCCAGGTCTTGTAGACTTCGGGTATTCCCAGTTGATAGATCGGGACTTCAGAGTCGACTCGAGCACCTCCAAATTGTCAGCAAGGCGTGCTTCACACTCGACAGGGTTTCTCCTTACCGGGATAAACGTTCCATCTCCAGGTGCCTCCGAACGAGGTACCGGCTTCATACAAAACCGTCTTGAAGCCGGCCTTCCGCATCTCATACAACAGATAGGTGCCACCAAACCCTGCTCCGATGATCAAGACGTCGACTTCCAAATTGTCATTATAAGGATAGTCGGTTTTTCGGCGCCTTGCAAACTCGTACAGCTCTCGCTTCAAGATCTTCTCAGGGAGTTCCTGAGCATCGGATGGGTCGCCCATTTTGGCCTGAGTGCGCTAGGAATTCTGGACCGTCGAAGGACACGAGGACAGAATGGTTGCAGTCTGAAGCCCTCGAACACTCCGGACCAGGGCATGCCAGGAGTACTTATCAGTGAGACGCCCCGCTTCATCCAGGGCACACAGACCCGGTGCACCGGATGGACCAAGCGTCTCCTCCTCCAGTCGACTAGTATAGCCAACACAAGGTGAAGTACTTCACTCGAACCACCTCAATGGCCGAAGCGGTTCCGACTGGAACGAGTGTTCTGATTCGGCACTGGTCGTCTCATGCATATCCCCCGCATCTCCTCCTTGCCAACATCCACACCATCTGGGACCCGAGAACCTGGGGTAAGGCGAGAGACTCCGCTCAGACTAGAGAGATGATTGGGACTCGATGGATGACACAAGAACTCTGCGCATCAAACTCTCTTGTGACGAGTAAGGGGCCATCTTACCCTCGGCTCATCCTCCAGCCTTGACAGAGGCTGTGACTTCCCATGGGCCGAAGTGCGACTCGTATTCAGGGTACTGTGTCGTGGGCATCACCAGCTGTGATGAATCCGTCCACCCAGCCATCGCCAGGTTTGGAGATGACCCCGGGATCGGTAAAGTTAGTTTTCGACAAGATATGGTGGTGGTACGAGGAAGTCAATTGACCGGATCGGATGACCTGGCGGGGACCAGACTCGCTTGAGGGCAAGATCTCCTCATTTCATGGCTGCTGCTAACCGAGTTACTGTATCGGTCCTGCCTGATCTATCCTGGCTGGAAGTCGTGCAGTGGCGATCAGCCAGGTGAGGCCAGCCCATCCATGGCTGGGCCGAAGATAGATAAAGGTCGACGTGCTTGGGAGGATCATATGCATGCATTCTTTCACAGGCCATCACCAAGATGACATGTGGTTGGAAAATGACTTGTACTCTTGGCTTCGACGCAGATGGAGCTCGACAAGCAAGCGGTCGTTATTCGGTGTCGATAACATTATTAGTCGAGTGCTTTGAAGAGCATGCCCTTCGTCCTGTCCGCGTCGCCGTCGACATCACACTTGGTATGGAGTCGGAATACGGACGAGGCTGAATCGTAGATTTAGACAGCCTGAACCCGAGCAATCCAAGCATCCAAGAGACATCGGGGGCGAGCATGGATTACGAGGCTGTGAGCGCAGTGGCTGCGCTCGTTACCACATTGACTCTTCATGTACCAATCATCGCCGCCGGCGCTTCATCGACCTGCGCAACCAGTTGCGCTTTCCATCAATCAAGGATGAGTTTCAGACACAGAAGCCGCATTGGGACAACAGCTTGTCTCCTTTTCCACGGCTACAAGATGTCTGCACGACGATGACGCGCCGCAAGAGGTCGCCGCCGTCAACGCCCTCGCTGTCGCCGTCGCAGTCGCAGCCGCAGTCGCAAGTTCGCATGTCCTTCGAGATCCCCGCCTCACTGCGTCAGTTCTCAGCCATTTCTCACTCACTTGCGACGACAATGTCTACAGCCAGCAGCACTGCGCTCGGACAATACCAGCACAGCTACGCCAACAGTGCCTCGACATCAACCACTCCCGCCCAACCTCGACCGACGTCACAGTCTTCGTCTCACTCGGCCCCGTCCTTCTCAAACGCTGCCCGGCCAAGTCAATATGCGACTCCCCAGTCTATCCCTCGCAAGCGTCCCTTCTATGAAACCCGGCCGCCTCCCCACTACCACCAGAGATCAGTGTCATCGGGATCGTCATCCAAAAACCCCGTACAGTCGTCCGGCCTAGCTGAAGTCGTTGCGATTGCCAGAACCGCTGTCGCTACGTCCGAATCACGGTCACGCCAAGCGCCTGGGCCCAGGATTGCTACTTCGAGTCCGGCCACGATCTCAGTCCCGAAGCCAGGAGACAGAGCCTCTCCCACGAGCGAGCCGAAGTCGGTAGCACAGGTGGCAGTAAGACAAAGAGAAGAAAGTGCAGGGAGGAGGGCAGCAACACACTCAGAAGAACCACCTCTCAAGCTGGGTGAAGCGCCGTCGATGACCCTCCATCCAAATCTGATAGCCCAAATGGTTGCGCGGAAAAGAGCAGAGGCCGAAATGCTGGGCCATCGAGAACGGTGGGCTCGCAGACAGCAGGAGTATCGCATGTCCCGGTCTCCCGGAGCACAATTGACTCATGAACTCAATGCCCGAGTCAGCCACAGCGATGCTAGAGGACCCCAACCGAGAACGGTGTCTAATCCTCTGCCAGCTCGATCGGCTCCAGTAATCCTGGACTTACAAGCTCCAACTCCAATTGTTTTCAATACTCAACCTCCGATTATCCAGAATCCGACAGCCGAAACCGTGTGTACGCCTGCTACAGACAACTCGACCAAACCAGCGGCAGCGAAAAACGAGCGCCAACATTCGAATGACAACGACTCACTCTTCGGATCTCCTTTCTCGACTCCAATCGTAGAGTTTCTCGAGAATGCCACCGACGAGGCTGGATTAAAAGACGCACTAGAACCAAACAAGGTTGTTCCTACTAGGACGTCCGCTGGGAACACGGCAGTGTCCACGCCTCAACCCAGTGATCCCACCGTACCCAGCACTTCAAGCGCGGCAGAAGCGACAAGCAGAAGTCAGGCTCGATCAGAGATACCGCCGCTATTCTCAGACAAGACCCCCACTACTCACCACCAAACTTCTTCCTCCAGCGAGACGCCAACGCATGCCCAAACCACAGCAAACCACCAACAGCCTCAATCCGAGTCACCCACGGGCGCCGTAGCAGACCATGCTCCAGCTCACCCGGAACAACCAGGACCGTGGCCACAGCTGGCTCCTCGTCAACCCCCAACGTCCAGAGCTATACCTTATTATCCCCAGCAAGCAGGCATGCCAGCTTACTACAGGGTTGCAAACAATCAGCATTGGCTGGGCGATGGAAGAAATCTTGCTGCAACTCCCACAGTTACTCCTCCGACAGCGAACGCGTACAGGCAGGCGGCTCCTCCACCGAATATGGGTTTTACTGGCTACAACCTGAATCCTATCAATCCATACATGATGCCAAGTCCTGGACTTCCACCGCCTCCGGGACCGCTACGGACCTATGGAACCACCGTTGCCGCAGCGGCTGCGGAGCGACAGAAGCAGCAGGCATTTAACGCCGGTTACTTGACCGCTGCAGATCACGCTGCGGGCATCAACCTGAAATTCCACAATACAACAAAGAGCGGTTTCAGTGTCCCAAAACGGTGACCATGAAGCCCCGATTCTGTGCTGTATCAAATTCACATTTCGGAAGGGCACATTGATAAATGTCGGCATCAGAGCCGACCTCTAGAAAAACCCAGACCGCGGCACGGAGAACGGGAACTCGAATACCAAACAAGATGACCCAGTGCCATGATGACTTGGAAGATTGACTACTGTATATCTAGCTGCTACATTATCTGATTCATAAGCGCGCTACATACCTAGCTGTACAATATGTCACATTAGGAACACTTCCCATCGACAGAGAGACCATGCTGCCTCTCGCGTAGACTCTCCAAACTTACTCCGTACATGGCTACCCTTTCCGCACACAGCGTGACACCACAATCCGGAGCTGCAGAAGACGCCGCAGCACCAAGGTCGAAGTTCGGGGGAACAGGCAAGCAAGGGGTGGTGAGGTGATGGTACTAAGTCAATCTGTATGGATGATTAAGCAGCAGCGGGATTTCCATGGGTAGCCGAGAATGCTGCTTAGACGCCCCGGCTGCCATCGGTTAGGCGATAATTAGGCACACCTGAGCATCGACGTCATGCCAGCGACGCCGTCACCACCGTCACCCCATTTCTACTGCGTGTCTACTTCCCATTCAAGCCTGTGGCGTCAATCCTTCAGCACCCAGCCTGAGCAGTATGTTGCCCATATCACACATGGCTTTGTCGGAGTATCATTTCCCTCCGCGAAATCCAGATCTAAGCGAGACACTCCAGCCTCACAGCGGCTGACTCGTTCCAGACTCGCTTACTCTCCCGGCCCTCGAACTTTCTGTCATGTTTACTCGTACTTGACCGTTTGCAATATTCCTTCGCGTCCTCTACGTCCGGTCCTCTACGTCCTTCGGGGAGGCTGGTAAAGTAATTATTTGGCAGCATGGCGACTCATATAGACAATGCTCCCGTGTGGCTGACTCGAGGGTTGTGCTATGCCGGAATCATAGCATTGCTGATTTACATCCAAGATACTCCGTGCCCATGTCGGACCACAACAGACTAACCTTCATTGATGTGTCCGGCTCATCAAGCCGCAACATTGGCAAAGACGCAGCTACCAAGACAAAGGTCCGATCGCAGGTCATGAAAAACTTGCGACGGAAACAACGACTCGACAAACAGAAGAGTACGTCGTCCCCTCCCTTGCCTCATGCACTTCTCACACGCCCGCAGAATTTGAGGAGGCTCAGGCTGCTTCTGATGATCAACGCATGTTAGGAGAGCGGTCTACCATCGTCCCAAGAGTTGCACAGACTATACAGCCAAGCGCCCCTCGGCCGCAGCCGCAGAGCCAGCAAGAGCTTGAGAGAGAAATCAGCCCTGTTGACATGGCACTTTCTCTGCATGGATGGCAAATTGGCGGCTCTAACCCTTCTTCCTTGTCACCCAGAGAATTTCACAAGCTCACTGCGATCATGGAGTCATGTACGTATCTGGCCTACGGAGATTGAGCACACCTCTGACCATACTACTCTCCAATAGATACCAGCTTCTTATCGGAACCTTTGACGCTGACCCATCCTACCTACAGCCTGGGAAGAGCACCCGACAGGACGAAACTGAATAGATGCTTCGCTGGCAGTTCTTGCGACGAACTGGTTCTCTATACTGTCCGGTTGACCCACCTAGGTCAAATCACAGCCATCAGATTCCTGCAGGAGAACGTCCCTGTTTGTGCTTGTACCAAGGCTAATGCTCTCAATCGTCTCCAACGGTCCATTAGAGATGTTGTTCAAAAGCCACCGCTTACACTAATCGGCGCCGTCATGTTGGTATTATCCTTCGAGGTATGGAACTGGGTGGCCGCCACGCCCAAACGTCCAAGCCGAGCACTGCAATTGCACGAATCTTGCGCTGACCGTCTTCTTCATGGTAGATGATCAGAGGAAGCGACTCGGTGTCGGTCCACGCTGAAGGCCTTGCCAGACTTGTTGGTTTGTACAATGACCTCAGCAAGCTTAGTGAACGCATTGACGTCGAGGCTATAATTGCGTAAGTGACTCCTCGGCTTCAATCCTGCCCCGTTCAACGGTCTGACAGTATAGTTGTGATCTTATACTCTCCGCCACTTCCCTACAGCATACCCCGAGGTTTACTGACATGAAGTCCCCCGTCTTCGTAAAGCCTCCGAGCCAGAGCCCTGCAGAGTTCTACCAGAGCTCGCCGCTGATGCAGGCCGGTAGTTTTGAATCTCTTGCACAGCTTTACGATGAAGTGCCGCAGGATTTTGTTGAACTCCTGAACGTCGCCTTTCAAGCCGCCCAGAGCCATATGTCCGTTAGCGGTACTCCAGTACCAAGGCCGCAGAGCCAGTATGATCCGATGTCTCAGCTCAGCCTTGGAGCAATGCGCATTCAGAATCCTGCACCCACCCACGGCATCGCTTTCCCTCCTGTTGTCCTGCAAGCCTCCCGCCTGGCTACGACGATTCATTTGCGAGCTATGGAACAAGGGATACCTTTTGAAGACGTTAGAAACCATGACGACGTGAAGCACCTAGGCGCGCTCCTGCATGAGAGTCCCCTGGCGGTATGGAGGGGCATACCGTACATCTATCTTTGGGTGTAAGCAACATGTTGTTGGTATTCACTGAGATATTAACCCGGTGTCCAGGCTTTTAACTGGTGCTGCTGCGGCACAGTCCCATCCCGAAAGACAGTATTTGATGGCCGAGCTAATTCGATTTGGCTTCAGCATCGCTCTGGAACACATTGGAGACTTCAGACGTGCGTTCCAAATCTTCTTTTCTGGCCCGAACAATTATTCATCTTCATTGCTTACTGACTCTGTCAGAGATCCTGATAAACTTCATTCAGCTACGACGCAGTTTGTAACCGTTTACAGTTCGCAATCGGTAGTCGTCCTTAATGGCACCCGATTTACTGCGGACGAGGTATCTAGCTATGCTCGCAGAGCCCCAGCATGTAAATAATACGACGAGGGATGCCTGTGATGGCTGGGCTGAGCATTCTCAATCAATGCGAACTACACAATGCCCTCTGCATTTGACAAGCAATAAACCGCCGGACACCTCATTCGAGGCTACCAGAGTCTTTGCCCTGCCAAGAACACGGCTCCCCATGTTGGACTACTCCACAACAATCTGACTGCACCTAATCGAACCACGAGGTAGTCAGGAACGCAACAGATGACCAGGGAGTGCGCGGACCTCCACCGTGTTCACGAACAAGGGGGCTCCCTGGCTATACAGCCCCCGAGCATGAACACGAGCGTGATGAGAATACTTGCAGCTCATGAAAACTAACTTGATGCCAACGTTAAGGACCTGTGATCCCAAAATATCAATTGTCACCAGAGTAATTATGTAGAGGTGTTGTGAACGGACGAGATTGTCTTCCGCCAATCAGAAAGACAGATTTGCGGCGCCGGCAGCTTGATTGCAACAGTGAGGCCGGGCGGGGGTCACGCTCTCGCTCAATTGTGTCCTTGAAATATAAGCAGCGGTGGCTATCTGAGGTTGTTGGCTTTCTTCAAGCTGCGGGAACGGCGAGACTGACGTTGCAGAAGCTGGGCGGCGGAACAGAGAGAATTCAACTTGATAAAGCATAATTCTTCTATTGCAACAGAACGAGTCCACTCTGTACGGCTTTTGAGATGGCGGCACTGGGGCAATTGCTAAAGACGTTAGCGTCGGTTAATGTGGCCGTCTGGCCAATCCAGAGCCCTGAAGCGGGGTCTGAATTGCCTTGGAATGATTGGTCCAGCTTTCCCTCAGGAACGCGCACAAAATGCAGGCATCTCGGTCGTTGGAATCTCACTAATCTCTTCAGTGCGATACTCTCGTTCCTCGATGGTTCCTGTCTCCTTGAGCTTTACGATCCATTCCATTTGTCCCTGTCAATGCTCGACGCTCCTGCACGACAGCCCTTTGTAGCCGTAGCTGAAGATGCCCGTTGGATTGCAAACGACAGCTGATGATGTTGCAGCTTTCACATGACTGCCACAATCACGAGGATCGTTTTGGCATGTCTCATACGCCCTCGGCATGGGCTGCATCCTCTTCTCGAGACGTCGCTGAAGCAGACATGAGATGCACTTGATTTGGGTCAAGAGCATAGCGGACATTGGGTACACCAAGGACTGTGTCCCTTGAAGGAAGCTACGAGCGAACTGACAACTTGCATCATGTGCCAAGGTGCGTGACTATGTATATCCGTGCGTATGGCCAGCAAGTGAGTCCGCTCGGAATCGTCCTGTCGGCGTCCACAACTTCGCACTACCTTGAGTGGAAATATGAGTTGAAAGCACCTCGCAACGCTTCGTCAACCGAACAGGCGCAAGCACCACCTCAGCAAGTAGTACTGTCGTGTCTCGGACAGACATAAAAGCATGCTTTGCTGCCGCACGAAGCATCAGGCCATCTACTTCGACAAAGGTCCGACAAAATTCTGAGAGAAAACAGTGTGGATGGCGTATTATTGCCACCCATCGGAAAACCTAACAGAATCTAGGCACAGCGTCGTCGGAGGTTGGTTCTTCGAGCCTCGTGCAGAGGCCTTTGGTTTCCTGAAGGGAGCCTTTAACTACACTTTCGACACTCAGCAATAAGGGGAGAAAACTCACAGACCCTGATGATGCCGAATTCATTACCGCCGAGATGAAGGGCACCGAGCTCTCTCAACGACAGATCGAGTCGACCAGGACCGAATTGGTCACCATTTCGAAAGAACTTGCTTCATATTCAGTCCCCTTCCCGTCGCCAAGATACATTGCTCATATGTCGATGGAGTGTTCGATGCCTTCCGTCATGGCATGTACGACTGCGTATTGCCACTTTGACAAGTCCTGATACTGACGAACATGCACGTGGCCGGCCTCCTTCATAACTCAAACAACGTTGCAACGGAAGCAAGTGCTTTCATCACAGTTCTGGGAAAGAAGGTGGGTGACCGCTCTTCCGAGTGCTCGGATTCAATGCCATCGACTCGGGCAAAGTGTCAACCCCAGCGACCAAGCACTCAACTCCAAGATCGAGCCGGTTGGTCGGTGTCACATCACCGATATCGGATCGGTTGCTGAATCCATCTGGGGCGCTCGAAACTTGAAATCCTACCCTTTGTCCTTAAGTTGGCAATTGGAAAGTGTCCTTTGAGCTTTCTATCAGGCACCTTCACGATCGAGCTCTGCAGCGGCGAGTCCGAGCTATTCGCCGAATACACTATCTGGGAGCTCCGCAACCTGAAGCCGTCAACAGTGCTAAGTATTCCAACTCAACTGTACGAGTTCGGAGTACTCCAGACAGCACCAACCAATGCCTCCACGGACTTCTCATCGACAACCGACGTCTCAGCTTTGTCGCTCACTGCAATGCTGCCTGGGGAGGCTACTTCGCCTCCTGCGTTCTGCATCCACTCACTGATATTGAACTGGACATGAAAAGGGACCCGGAGAATGTTCCCATTCTAGCACCTTTCCCGTATACTCGGTCAGCAGCTACTAGCCCTTGGAGAAGATGACAGCATTCGAAGCGCTTTCTGTTGATCAAGCCCCACCAAAGGAAGACAGCAAGATCTTTTTCACAGGGAAGTTGACGCTGCGCCAGAACGTCTTTGCGACCTACACCGTGATTAATGAGGATGTCTCGCTGCCCAAAGAGGCACAAGACCATGTGCACACGCATACCCTGGAGACGGAAGTGCCCGGGTCCCCGATGGCGAACACTTCGGCGTTGATGGCCGAGTATCCTGACGACATGACGACGGTTGTCCTTAGATGTCGAGACCAGCAGGCCAGCATCCGCCGATTTGAGAAGCAATTCTCGCGCACTCGGACCAAGGAGGCAGCCAAGGTTGTGGAGGGGGACGAGAAAACAGAAGCAAAGGCACTACAGTGGGTCGTGATGATGAGCAAGGGGTCCCATCATGATGGTTGACTTCAGGGCAAATGGGTATATCCCCGAAGCAGTGTAGTATCGTAGCTTACATCGGTTCTTTGAGTCGATATACGACCGTTGCCGTGTCCCTGCTTCTACATTCAACTGGCCATGTTAGCCAGCCCAGCACAACCCGGCCAGTATGAGTACCATTCCCGCTGCTTGAGGCTACCGCTGCCCCCCTAATCCTCGCCAACCACCCCGGCTGAACGCAACAAGTACAGATTCACACACGTACTGGACCGTCCAACGGAACTTGCGAGAACGTCAAATCATCTTCCTCCTCGTCTTTTCCTCCTCCGACTTCACGTCATCATCCGCCTTCGCGGCCCTAAGACCAACCCCAATCCTCAGCACAAATGCCGCCCTGACAACCGCGCACGCGGCCGTAAGTCCCAAGTTCATCCACTCTTCGACCCTCCACGCCTGGACGGCCAGCCTGCCCTGCGCGCTCAACCCCCTCAGAATGGCAGCACAGATGATCACGTCGACGAGACCCACCGGCACGGCGTAGTAATGCCACACCACGACGTCGGCGGGCCGCGCGCGGAGTAAGCCCAGCTGCAGGAGGAGACAGACGCAGAATAAAGCGCCGCTGAGGTCGAGAAGGGCGATGGTCTCCGGGCCGGGCGGCGAGCGGTATGTCGGATTGAGGCTCGCGAGGACGATCTCTGGGTGGACGTAAGTGATGTATATCGACCCGGCGGTCATGATCGGGTCCAGGCGAGTGAACCAGAGGCGGTAGAAGGGGTGGATCGGCGATGGGGAGGTCGTTTCGGTCGTTTCGGTCATTTCTGGGGGATGATGTGGGACTGTACGCAGTAAGGCGACTCTGAGGCCTTGTACGAGTACGAGAATGACAACGAAAACGACAATGCGAACGAGAGGGGGCCACCCCGGGTGGTTGAGTACACGACGACGTGACGTTGGGCGAGAGAGGGTCGAACGTGGAGAAGGGGGGAAAGTGAAGATGGGGGATGCTGTTCGTGTGCAGAGTACAGAGTACAGTACCCTCGTTGTCTGAGACAGAGATAATGAGATCACCTTGACATGAGCTGAGCTGAGCTGAGCCGAGCTGATGTTTTGTGCTGGGAGCATTAGTTGGTTCGCTTGGGATACTGTGAGGCCTTCCCTCCTTCTTTACCCGATACAGTACTGGGTAAGTACTGTATTGACATTCGCTGTGCGCTGACGCCGGTGCAGTACTCCGTACTACCCCGTATAAGGTGATAGTGACTCCATATAATGTATTTTTGTTGATTGTGCAGTCGCATCTGGTAGCTTTCGATGATTGGGACTGCTGCCGTTGAGTCGAGGACGCGATCGGCTAGAGAGTCTCGTCTCCCATGGCCTTTGTTGAAGCTCGGCCGCAGGCAGGGCAGACATTCATTTTGACTAGGAGATCGCTCATATATGGCAGCAGTACGGAGTACTCGGTAGCTTTTTCAGGCTCTGTCGTGAACAATGCGGCGCTACTGGCCGCCCTCGAAGAGAGCATTCGGCGACAAGAAGGTTCTCACAATCACCGTTCTTACTCGTACGGCTTGACAAGGCTGAATGGACATTATTGCCAAGCCGCTAGTTAATCAGCATCCTCCGACGTCATTGCGAAACCCATGCGCCGCATCTCACTCAATACCTCTTACCTTGTACTCGTACTCGTACTCTGTAGTTCGACGAGTTCCAACAGCGTAGTGAACCGTGGTACGGCCTTCTTTCAGTTCTTGTCATTTCGTGCCACTCGTTACGCGCCACTATCACGCCCATCTTCCTTGCAACACCGCAACCAAACCCCATGCGTTCGAGCCTCCTCCGCTTCGCTTCCGTTGCCAAAGCTTCCCCAGCTCCCCCTCCCAAGTCTCGTCTGCGTAAACCGGCGCCCCTCTCGCTCGACCACTTCATCCAACGCCAACGCGTGATTCATCTATATCGCGACATTCTCCGCTCCATATACCGGCACATGCTCTCCCCGCAGAGAGACGAGAGCGTGGCGTATGCGAAGGGCGAGTTCGCGCGAAACAAGGATGTCAAGGAAATTGAGAGGATACGGTATCTGATCAGCACGGGGAAAGCGGAGTGGGACGGCCTGAGAAGGAGTGTTGAGGGGATGGAACCGCTAAAAGGTCGATGATGAAAGTTACAAGATGCGATGGATCGGGACCGGTCTATATCAGCCATGCGATCGTGGTATATGTCGTCCAAGGGACGTTATCCGTGTTCGCTTGACGCGAGCTGTCGCGTCAGGTCGTCGAAGTCGAAACGAAGTCGAGCACGTCCATGATCCGGAACCTCAAACGGTGAATACTAGCTTGGCCTTTCGACTGTTCGAAACAAAATGCGTGGGAAATGGCGACGCGCAACGCTTCGTGGGATGCGAATCCAGCAGTCCGACACTCTCGAGCGCGAGAGAGGCCCACCAGGGGGGATTGACTTGTGGGCGTGGAGGATGTAGTAGAGGACTTTCTGGCTGGACAAGTCGGTGACATTGCCGCCGGAGCACCACGAAGGTGTATTCAGCCATGTTCTCGAATTAGGTGGATGGAGTTTACGGTGTAGAGTCCTCAAAACGACTCAGGACGGATGTGTGGAGCTCGCATAGGCTTATACTCGGCTATGCCTTTTGCTGAGTCTGGCTCGGACTGAACGAGCGGTGGTCGCTCGCTTGCCGTACGAGCCGGGCTCTTTAACAATGCATGGATGCTCTACTACAGGGCACATATATCAGCCTTGGAAAGGCAAAAATCGCAAAGTCGTCTTGTCCTGGTGCTGGTGCTGGTCTTGAACGGGGCTCTCCCGCATGTCTCTTCTCACCCATCACGTGTGCCTCCGGCAATTGTAGGGTTACTCGACCAACGGGCCTCAACAACGGAAACCCTAAGAAGTATTCACATCAACTCACGTCCTAGTCTTTGCGAGCTCTTGCCGGGGATTTTCGTGGTTAGGTTTTGGGTGCTCCGGTAGGTAGAATACACCTCGCTACGCGCGTGAAGGGATGACGGAAGCACAGGAACGGGTTGTGTTTGTCTTTGCCAATTTTGTTCGCAATGTGGGTGCAGAGTAAGTGCGCCAGGCCGTACAGAACTCACCCTCCTGAAATCCTTTCGAAAGGTAATTTTGAGATTCGATAAATGCTTCCACGCAGCATCGTCATCATCAAGCCCTCCTCCAAGCATCTCGCGCCCTCTGTGCCCACGTCCCCGGACCCCAGCCCTCCTCACACACCTCCTCCAACACGCTCTTATTCCCAAACAACCAGCCAGCCTTCTTCTTCCCTTCCTCCTGCGACTGCAGGTCCCCGGGTGGAGGGACTAGCTCCTCGACCTTCCCCCCGTCAATCATCCTGCCAGCCTTCTCCTTGACTCCCTCAGCCGCGTCCCTCGCAGCCACACTCGCCTTCTCGATGCGATCTCTCCACTCTCTGTCTTCCTTGTCCCGGGCCTCCAACTCGGCCAACCACTTCTCCCGCTTCTCCGCGACTTTCTTCTCCTCCAACTTGGCCTCAAAGGCCTTTCTCTTCAATCGCTCGTCCTTGTAGAAAATACTCCCCGCCACCAGCGCCAGGAGCGTGAAGCCCTGGGCATAGATTCTAGCTCTGAACATGCGATTCGTCTGATGGTGGTCGCCTGCGCGGATGGACTTTGTGGCCATGTACAGCGCGTAGCATGTTGCCGCGCAGCCCAAGGGGATGAGGGGCTCTTGACGCAGCTTGCGCCATAGCTTCTGGAAGCGCTTTTCTTCGTAGAATTCCGGAGTCGAGTCGAATGAGGAGGGGATGGCGGAGGAGGACAGTGGCGAGGGCTCAGAGGGCGGAGGCGCGTCGTTCGACATGTTATTGCGGACTCGAATGTGCTGGAGGCTTTGTGTGGTTTTTGTCGGGGTATGGTTGCAGGATTGAATCGATGGGTATGAATGTGGTGATGGTGGCGATGGTGGTTGTGGTCGTGGTCACCCGATTTGAGACCGAGTCAAAAAGTGTTGACGTCGACGTGCAGCGCGAGTGAAATGTGCTCGTGCTGGTGCTCGTGTGCGGGCTGTTGAGAGCCCATGCACAGGTGACAGCTACGCTGTAGCTGGCGATGCTCCTGTTGTGTCGCGGGGAGGAGCTTGTTGACAGACCTGGCCTCGAAGGGGTCTGCTGGGAAGAGAATGATGGCTTCTACTGTGTAGAGACTGATATGTATCTGCCTTCACACCTTGCATAGACGTAGCTTTGAATTCCCCAACTACAGTTGAAAATGCGGGGGACAAAAGCAAGAGCTTTGGGCATTTTTCCCATTGTGACAATTCTGCCTCGTGCACGCCCACAAACCCACAAACTACAGTACCGCCCAACGCTCGACGTCGACATTTAACTCGTTGCCTCCACTTACTGCCGACGTCGCCATGGACGTCGCCGAACCCCATGTCAATGGGACGACCACGCCCTCCACGCCCACCACGCCCAAGCGGTCTGGTCTGGCCCTGACCGAGTACACCGCCATGCCTACACCCCCCTCGGAACGGGCTGACACACCTACCTACGACGTGCCATCCGACTTCCTCCTGCCGAATGGCTACCCCGACTACGTGCGCCTCATCCTGACGTCGCGCGTGTACGACGTGGTCAGCGAAAGCCCGCTCAGCCATGCCATCAACCTCTCCAATCGTCTCGAATGCAAGGTCCTGCTGAAGAGAGAGGACCTCCTCCCCGTATTCTCGTTCAAACTGCGCGGCGCGTACAACAAGATGGCACATCTACCGCCCGAGGTCTCGTGGAAGGGTGTCGTAGCTTGCTCGGCCGGGAATCATGCCCAGGGCGTGGCTTATTCGGCCAGGCACTTGAAGATCCCCGCCACGATCGTCATGCCCCAAGGGACACCGGCGATCAAGCATATGAATGTCAGTCGCATGGGCGGGAACGTCGTGCTGCATGGGCCGGACTTTGACTCCGCCAAGGACCACTGTCACGCGCTCGAGAAGCAGCACGGACTGACGAATATCCCGCCGTTCGATGACCCCTACGTGATAGCCGGGCAGGGCACCATCGGCATGGAGCTGCTCAGACAGACGTCCCTGCAGAAGCTGCGCGCCATCTTTTGCTGCGTAGGCGGCGGGGGCTTGATCTCCGGGATCGGCGTCTACGTGAAGAGGATCGCGCCGCACGTCAAGATCATCGGCGTGGAAGCCTCGGACGCCAACGCGCTGGTCGAGTCCCTGAAAGTAGGCAAGAGAGTGCTGCTGAGGGAGGTCGGGCTGTTCGCAGACGGCGCGGCCGTCAAGACGGTCGGGGAAGAGACGTTTCGACTCTGCCAGGAAGTGGTCGACGAGGTCATCGAAGTCAGCACCGACGAGATCTGCGCGGCCATCAAGGATGTCTTTGAAGACACCCGATCCGTGCTCGAGCCCGCGGGCGCGCTGTCGCTGGTGGGTCTGAAGAAATGGGTGGCGCAGAACCCCTCGACCGACACGTCGAGAGAACTGGTCGCCGTGGCGAGTGGCGCCAACATGAACTTCGACCGACTGCGCTTCGTCGCCGAGCGTGCCGCGCTCGGCGAGCAGAAGGAGGCGCTACTCACGGTCACGATCCCCGAAAGGCCCGGCTCGTTCGCGCAACTGGTCGAGGCCGTCTTGCCCCAGGCCGTCACCGAGTTTGGCTACCGCTATTCCGCCCCGGACAAGGCACACGTTATGATGGGCATTTCCGTGTCCTCGGCGGGCGCGCGCCAGAGAGAACTGAACGCCCTCTTCAACCGACTCGCCGCCGAAGGCATGACGGCCAAGGACCTCTCCGACGACGAACTCGCAAAGACACACATTCGCTACCTCCTCGGTGGACGGTCGGGCGTCACGGACGAGAGACTGTACATGTTCGAGTTCCCCGAGCGGCCCGGCGCGCTGTTCAAGTTCCTGAGGACGCTGCGGCCCGGCCAGAGCATCACGCTCTTCCACTACAGGAACTACGGCGGTGATGTCGGCAGAATCCTCGCCGGCATCCAGTGCCCGGACTCGGAGCGGGATCAGCTGGAAGAGTTTCTCAAGGACATAGGCTACCCGTTCAAGGAGTGTACCGAGAACGCCACGTACAAGATGTTTCTCCGCAATTAGAAGTCGGGAATTCCCCCCAAAAGAGTAAAAATGTTCAAAAGCACCGAATGATGGGAGATGTAGTCGAGGTCATTGTTCAGCTTTAAAGATACCCCCGGGCAATGGCGTTCAGTGGAAGATACATAAAAAAAAAGGAAAAGGCCTGGGTGTTTCGTCGCGCATCCTGCATATAGAGGCGTTTTCAAGTCTATTGGGAGTTCACATTGAGTATACTCCGTACGTACGTACTTGGTGAGGCAGGAGATTCAATGCATCGCTATAGTACTTACTTAGACGCGATCGGAGATCTGACCTTGATTGTACACCCAAGTCAAACTCTACATCGGATAGGCGCCGCTTTTGGTACAAACTACAGGATGAAGTAAAGTACAAGATACAGTAGGAGAGGATCACGACATACCCGGCGGGCTCGATTCAACCTCACCGCTGCTCCTCCTCTCGCCGGCTTTGCTCTCCGCGGCGCTACTCGAGCTTGCATCGGAATCGCTTTGACTCCGCAGATGTTCCTCCCATCCCGGACACGACAGTCCGAGCGCCGCGTATTCCTCGTCCGGGATGATAGTGACGATTTTGATCCGCCACTTGCCCGACCGCAGGATGAGCAGGCTGTCGTCCAGGATCCATTTCTGGACTTCCTTCCACTCGGCCGTCCTCACGGGCGTGAAGGTGAGATTGTCGCCCATTTCGGACTTGGCGTCGGTGCCCCCTCCGACGTAGGCGCCTCCGGCGTTGATGAGTCGTTGGCCCTCTGTCTTGGACGTCACCAGCCCCGCGGACCAGAGGATGCGACTCATGGGTTTCTCGAACACGAGGCTCCGCGGAAGCTTGACGCCGGTGGACGGGTCGTCCTCGCGGTGGAGAGGTTGGGCATGCTTGTTGAGGGACGGATGCGCAAACATCGGGAGACCCGTTTTGGGGTGTACGTCCGTCGCTTTCGCTTCGGCCACGCTGGCCCTCAGATCGCTGATGCTCACGTTCTTGTTGTGCAGTTTCCGGTGTTGTTCTTCGGCCAGTTGCGCCGCGGGCAGGCCGTGGATGAGCTCCACGAACTCGCTGGCCAGTCTGTGCTGAGCAGTGCGTTTGGATTGGTCCTTCTGGTGTTCTTGCATGACCTGGTGGATTTCGGGCAATGGCAAGAAAGTCAGGAGCTTAAAGTATTTCTCGACATCGGCGTCGGCGGAACGCAAGAAGAACTGCCCGCGTCTGTTTAGCATTTGGTCATAGGTCCGATATCTGGACGGCCACTTACCTGGTATAGATCGTAGACGCTGGTCATCTCGGGATCGAGCCACACGGCGTTCCCGGCACTCTTGCCGAATTTCTCTCCAGAGGCCGTTGTCAGCAGGGGCACGGTGAAGCCCATGGGATCGGAAGGGACATTGATGCGTCGTTTTGAGTCGATCACCTGCGTCTGGCGCAGCGCGACTTGATATTCGTGCGAGTCTTTGGCGATCTGCTTCACAGCCTCGGCGCCAGCGAGGATGTTCCCAAACTGGTCGGCGCCACCGATCTGCACCTGGCAGCCTGACTGGAACAGGTGCCACCAATCCCAGGCCTGTACCAACGGGTAGCTGAACTCGGCGAACGACATGCCGTCGCCCTTCTCCAGCCTGTTTTTGACCCTACAGGCAAGGTGAGTCAGCGATGGCACGTTGAAGAGCAGGAAAGGTATACTCACGTATCTCGACCTAGCATGGGGCCGATGCGAACATGGCGACCAAGCATAGAAAGGAACTCCCGGGCGGTGACTTTACTCCACCAGGTCACGTTGTTCTCGAGAGACCGTCGCCACGACCATTCCCGCATGTAGCCTTTGCGCTCTGCGTACTTTTCCATCGAGGCGCCGAGTCGCTTCAGCTGGATATGCATGGCCGCCATGTTTGCTTTTCTCTGTGACGGAGACATGGTTTCCCTGCCTTTTAGACGTCCGATCGGGTCGCCGATACTGGCTGTGAAGCCCCCAAGCTGGGTGGTGTGAGTGACTGGTGCATCTATCAATTAATGAATCCATCCTCCTTACCAAAAAGTTGGCCTTGTAGCCATGAATATACAGCCATCCCAAAGCCATGAACGGCACCATATGACCGACGTGCAGTGATGGCGCAGTCGGGTCTATGCCTGCATATGCGCCGATGCGCCGGTAGGTCATGAGCTTGTCCAGGTCATCTCTTGAGCTGAATGAGATCGTGTCAGTTAAGCCGGTTCCCCTCCGTCCTCGACGCTGCGCCTTACCCAACGATTTGGTTCACATATCCCCTCTCCTCCAGAATGGTCATCATGGACTTCATGTTCCCAGCTTCTATATCTTTGGCCTTCGCTTGCCATTCTTCCTCCGCCTCTTGGATCCGGCGGACGTGCACGCGCGTGATCCATCGCTGATGGGAAACAGGGTTGTTGAGAGCCGCATGCCGCTCTCGAAGATGATGGCGACAGCTCTGGCAGATATACAGGGAGCGGCGGACCGACCGAAAGGGCGCTGTGGTCTTCATGGGGCGGGACACACATGTGCGATTTCATGCGCGCGCATCATCGTCCTGGACTTGCACGTCGACTTGAACTGCGCTCGAAAAGTTCCTGGTCGACACTCGGAGCAACGGCGTTTCGGTGCAAGTTACCCCGATCCCTTCCGCCAATCATGTAGCGCCCTTTTCTTCGCCCTCTGAATTTCGTCCGCCGTCACGTGCAGTTTTCGTTCATGGACCAATTCGACGGTGAGTCCAAAACAATACGGAGTACATCAACCACTTGGCCCGTGTACAGGGCCATAAACATGATCATGACGTCTACACTCCTTGCTGGCCTGTCGCGTAGTCAGTGCCATGGCTGGGCGCGGACGAATGTACGCGGCGTGGTGGACATGAAGGACAGCTCAGGGACGGCCGACTGATATATAACGGTATGCTGGCGACCCGCCTAGTAGCAGCTCATCAACCTGAACAAGCAGCGTCTTCACTGAATCCCGTCCCTCTATCTTCCAGTGACTGCCACACGCAATGTCGAACCTCAAGCGCATACTCATCACCGGGGCTACAGGCAAGCAGGGAGGCGCCTTACTATCGGCCTTGCTCAAATCACCCCCGACACCACCGTTCCATCTGGTAGCCTTGACGCGAAATTCGAAAAGCCCTCAAGCTCTCGCTCTCGCACAGAAGCCCAACGTCACCGTCATCGAAGGCGACCTTAACAACTGCGAAGCTATATTCAAGGCATCATCCGAGCCATTCCATGGAGTCTTCAGTGTGCAAGTACCGCTGAAACCCAAAGTCGAGGAGCAGCAAGGCAAAGCACTCGTCGACGCGGCCGCAGCTCATGGGGTCAACCACTTTGTGTACACCTCAGCGGAACGCGGCGGGCCACAACAATCAGACCGAACCGGCACCGTGGTCAAACATTTCATCTCCAAGTTCAACATCGAAAACCATCTGAAGCAAGTGTCGCAAAAGGGAGGCGGCAAAATGCAGTGGACCATCATCCGTCCGGTCGCCTTTATGGAGAATCTCACACCTGATTTCATCGGCCGAGCGTTTGCAACCATGTGGCAGTTGAATGGAATGGACAGCAAGCTGCAATTGGTGTCGTCGGTCGACATCGGCGTCCTGGCGGCTGACGTTTTCAAGAATCAAAACGCCTATGCAGGAAAAGCGCTGTCGTTTGCGACAGACGAACTCACGCCCCAGGAGGCCAATGACATTTTCAAGAGAGTGGTAGGAACGGACATGCCGACGACATATCCGGTCGTCGGCCGCCTCATCAAATTCATCCTCCACGAGCAGCTTGGTGCGATGTTTGACTGGTTCAAGAGCGACGGGTTCGGCGCGAACCCGAGGGAGTACAAAGACAAGTTCCCCGAGATGCAAGATTTCGAAGCCTGGTTGAGGCGGTCCAGTAAATTTGCAAAGTCCGCTTCAAGGTAGATATGGCAACAAGCCAGGCGCCTGGGGTGGAGAGGATTTGTCGGTGTGAACTGCAAGCATTGAAATGGCTGGCGTTGTTGTAAGGAGTACGACTGTCTTTACTCCGTACTGTAATCAAGATTGCCGCACGAGATCTGCGGATAGGCAATGCTTGTAACGGAATACACACAAGTGTTTGTTCTTGCTCCGCTTCCATTTTCGACAGTTACGAGGTACGCGTTATGCCCATGGCGAGTTTCGTCGTGTTCACCTCTTCGTGCTGAAGGACTGCTTATATCCTCCGTGATGATCACCACCATCACGAGACTGCCACTTTCCGGGGTAGACGGGGCCCTCATCCCTGCCGAGAAGTGATTAGCGGAGCCCGTCAAAACGCGTTGCGTGCCGACGACTGGGATGCTTCGGCGCTTGAAACATCATCCACCGTCTCCCAGAGGTCATTCCCCCGCGAGCACCGCGAGTAGCTGGTCCCCGGCGGGCACAACGCGAGAATCCTTCTACCGTGGTACGAGCTACTCCGTGCCGTCCCCATAAAACCCTGATGACGTTCCACTGTTTCGATGGCCCGTCTCGTGCTCACGGTTGGCCCAAGTCCTCCGTAGTTGCCCCATCCTTTCGGCTGTGAGCCCGCACCATCACTCATTCCGGACGCAAGCTACGAGTAGAAATGTCGTGCCCCGTCGCGAGCTGAGCAGCATACTTACGACGACAGTAGCTTAGCTCTCCCCCGGTATGCGCACTTCCTGTCGCCGTCGTCCTCCCAGAATCGACGGAAACGCAAACATGTGATTGATCAAAGATGGGACAAGACTTCTACACGGGCACCTTCGACAGCACGACGACCATCGTCACCATCACCTCGGCGCTCTCGCTCTACAACGCGGTCGAACTGCTGCTCCTGATCTTCACGACCTTCACGGCCTACCACGGCCTGTACTTCTGGTCGCTGCTCGTCGCCACCACGGGCCTGATCCCGTACGCGGTGGGCTTGATCCTGCAGTACTTCCGCCTGACCAAGACGGTCGCGGGACTGGTCATCAACAACTATGGCTGGTGGACGACCATCACGGGCCAGAGCGTGGTGCTGTACTCGCGGCTGGGCGTCGTGCTGGGCAAAGGCAACGAGCGCATCCTCCGGTCCGTGAAGTGGATGATCATCGTCGACGCCATCGTGTACCACGTCACCACGACGGTCGTGGTCTTTGGGTCGTACTACGCCGCCGCGCCCGCCCGGGAGCCCTTCTCCCGCGCCTACGTCTACGTGGAGAAGATCCAGATGACGGGCTTCTGCGTGCAAGAGTTCATCATCTCCGGCCTGTATCTGTGGAAGACGATGGACATTGTCAAGACCCAGGCCCAGCCTGCCCAGCCTGCCCGGTCTGCCCGATCGGCCTCCAGCGCTTCCGAACAGAGCGGTGGTGCCAAAAAACCCGTCGTCCGCGTCATGGGCCAGCTGTTCATCATCAACCTGGTCATCGTCGCCATGGACATCGCCCTGCTGGTCGTCGAGTACAAGGACCTGCACGTCCCCGAGGTGGCCTTCAAAGGGCTGTGCTACTCGGTGAAGCTGAAGCTCGAATTCGCCGTCCTCAGCAGGCTGGTCGAGGTGGCCGGCGTCAAGCGCACGTTCAGCCTGGCAAATACGCTCGACTCGGCCGCAGACGGCGGCCAGACCGACGGCCATCCGGGGATCTGGATCACACGCGGCTCGGTCCTCGCTGCGGATCCTAGCCGTAACACGGGCACGTCGAAATTGATGCATTCTTTCGGCTCCCAGAGTTCGTCGCCGCCGGAGTGGCTGGAAGACCTGGAAAAGATCCGCACTCTGCCGGTCGACAATACGCCGCAGCCGAACCCCAACATCGACGTCGCGAGACTACAGCAGGAGAGCATGTCCGACACGCGGAAACTGAGCACCATCTCCACTTTCAACAACATCAGTGTCTCGGAGCCTCCTGTACACAGGCGAGTGAGAAGGGATTCTGATCTCCTCTACGCAAGTGCCATTCGCGAAATGGCAAAAACTAGCTAGCCCGAGGGAGCAGCCTCATACAAAAATTCCTAATTCCATTCCCAAAGCGACTCATCAGCCGGCCATTCCGGGATTTGCGCCTCCCAATCCTGGCCCAACTCAGTTCCAAAAATGAAGTGATCCCAATCCACGTTCCCGTCCGGCCCAGTGGCTTGCGACGCGGTGTTGACGTCGAAACCAGGTATTGCGAAATGGGTCATATTCGCGGGATCGAGATCAAATCCTCCATCAACGGAGTGCTCGGTCGAGCTGGGAGGCGTCGGGTCGGTCGCTGTACTTGACTCCCGAGAGTCCATGTCCATTGACTTGCAGCGCAGGTGCCGTGGTGGCCTCAACTCAAGGTGAATTGCTCCAAAGTAGGGCAGAACCACCGTCCTCCGCAACGGCTGGCCATCGTCGGTTGGACTGTCCTCATGTAAGAAGGAGCCCAGCTCCTCGAGCACTTTCAACCCTTGCTTGCTAATGCATCCACCTTGCTGGACTGCACGATATCGGAAGACGTCCTTGATCTCGCCGATTAAAGCGAGGTCTTCGTTGACACTGCCCATCACGTCGGCATTCGGGCTACGCAGCGTCTGTGGACAAAATGCCAACCGGATCAAAATGCCCACCATGAGTATACAAGCGCTGAAAACTCCTTGGAAATCCTCGCAGGCGCAGATAAAGACGGCTAGCGAAGGATCAGAGCGAAGCAGAGTGAAGATCCGCATCATTCCACGACATCCTTGTAGACAGAGATACCTGTTGATCAGGTATTCATCTACCAAGTCGTCCTTCCGCTTGTGGTGAGGGTCTGAAGAACGCATCTTCGAGCAGGGTTTCATCATGAACGGTAGGTGGAGGAATGCTTGTACCTGCCAGAACCACATTTGGGCGACGAGATGTTCGTGCGCCACGAATGGGTCGGCATAGTGAATGTGGGAGTTCACATCCCACCACCCATCTGGCATTGCGGCAGCCGCCTCGTTGAGGGTTTTCTGGATATCCATGGTGGTCTGATACTTCGCGTCGTCCGCTTCCGCAGAGCCATTCCTGTCGTTGACATGACCAGCCGCGATGGAAACAACACGGCGCAGCGCCCGCATCTTAATGTCGGCTGAAACGTGTGGCTTGCTTCCATTTGCATCCAGAGGCGCCTGTCCTCTCAAGACAGTCATGGCCAAGCGATCGGTGAACTTCCCGTCCTGGGCGTGTGGGAACCCGAGGACCAGACTCATCAGGCGATCCAGCTCCATGATGGAACCGACGAACCGCTGGCGGTGGAAGAGCTTCGTCAACGCTCCTGGACACAGTCTTGCCGCAAGGTCGCCGGCGTCTAGCGGTACTCTCGGCTCGGTGAAACCAATCTTCTTCGCCACCTCTATAGCCTGGCGAAGGCTGAGCCACGATTTCCGCAGCTGGTTACTTTCTGCAAACATCTTGGCACGCATCATCAGCAATAGCAACACGCCCGCATCCGACATGTATTCTGGCTTGGAGTACGGGGAGAGGACAATCGTGTCTACCGCTAGGGTGATGCGCTCGGCAACCTCGGCTGGGGTGGTGGAAATGTTCAAGACCGAATCGTCCACCCCGGAGCGAAGTTGGCTCAATGACAGAGCGACGCAGAGCAGACCTGTTGAGATGGAGACTGGGTCTTCAGAGTGGGAGAGCTTGAGCATGACAAAATCCCGCAGCGAGATAGGCTGATCGCCAGAGTATGTCCTCATTGCGCCGGACGAGCATGGACTTGATCTCGATGGCGATGCACACGAAGTGTTAGTACTGGTGTCGCTATAGGAGCTGCAACTCGGTCCTTCGGACAGCCATTGGTCTTCCTTGGAGAAAGCAAACACATCCTGCAATGCGAAAGCCTGGTCGCGCCAAGCAATCCACCACTTGATTGAGATATCCAGTACCTCGAGCAGGTATGGTTCGGAATTGATCGTCGAAAGTAGCTTTTCCGCATCGGTAGTGTTGGTATCTGAGAAACTCAGGGTCTGGACTTTCTCGGTCAGGATTTGTGGAGTGGGTGTTGCCTGGGTGAAGATTTCGTTGTTGAAGAGCTGGCAGAGCAGAGGGCTCGATTTCTTGCTCTGTTGTTCAAGAGGAATCAAAGGGTCAAGACCAACGCGCTTAGCCAAGTTAGAGCGTTGTGGCTGAATCCCAAAGCCTAGTTCGCCTTCGCGGGTAGACTGAGCATCGGAAGCCACCACCGCTGGTTCGCCTGATAACGAGCTAGGGACAAAGAAGGTTTCAAATCCATCACCGACCCAACTCTTCGGAGCATCAACGCTGCTATCACTTCCGATGTCGAAAGTAAATGCATTTGCGAATGGACTGCTCGTGTTGAAGCCAAACTCGTAGCCCCCACTGAGAGGAATCTCACCATTCCAGGCGACGGCACCGCCCGAGTATGGGGCCAGCGGGCCCGGAGCAGTCGAAGCGCCAACGTGGGCAGAACCTCGTTCCTTAGCAATTCTCTCTACCACAGGCGCCATCCTGTCAAAATGCATCTTCATCCGTGGCCTCTCGTCTTCAGAAGCGTCAGGGCTGGTCCGATCCACTTGTCGCCGACGCTTGTAGATCTTGGGCTTCAGCGACGATTTCAGATTGGGCTGGGCTGCGGTGTCGCTGCTGACGGCAGCAGAGTTCTCTACATGCGAGTCGGATTGAGCTGTCTCGGACGCGACGTAGCCTTGGATTTGGCATGTGCGCTTATGAGTTGTGCATTCGATGCATTTCTTTTCCGCTTCAGATGTGCTTGAGGGGGAAGACGGCGGGGTCGGAGGGTAGTTGCATTTGATCTTGCGTCGACGACCTGGCTAATTGTCAGCTGGCTGAGATCTCTCCAACCCAGAGCCACGATTGGGAAAGGCAATGAAATAACGCCCAAACTATTCACGAGGTTGAGGTTGGGAAGGGGATTCTCCTAGGATGAACTCCATGTCCGTACTTCGTGTTTCGTTTCCCTACAGCAATCCCGCCACGGTGCGAGCGTGTTGTCTCTGATCCCCTACGCAATTCGATGAGGCCAGGGACACAATCTGAGCCTTATGACCTACTGTGGCGAAAGCACGGGCAGCTGCTCGTCGCAGAAATAGAGCAGAGGGATGATGACACTGATATTAGAAATTGGTTAAACAGAACATACACTCTAGACATGACTTGGTGCCCTTTCGCATTTGTTTCAGCGGAGCATCCCCCCACACAGTTCGGCCTCCATTCTTCGTCGTGTTTACGATTGGCATGGTGAAGGTGGTCCGTCTCGGAGACGGATTCAAGACATATAGAGTGTTGTAGACTTGTTGCTGGAGACGTCTGGGTCGTCCTCGGGGGTGCTGGATCGCTGAGGCTAGAGACCGGAAGCTGAAATGTCGTAACGCAGGCAATTAGTCAGAACGGAGGACTTTTCGGGACAAGAGTTAGTGAGCAAGTTACGGGCTTTAGCGCCTTGAGGTCAAGGTACGAGAAACAACAGGCACGGCAGAAGACTTTGTGGAATGCAGAAAGAGAAAGGACGAGCAACGAGATATTGTACGAGGTATGGTGGGTATGTACTCCGTACGGAGTTCATTTGACGGGAAGGAATTAAGAAAGTGGATTGAATTCGGCATGGATGGAGATCAGATCCAGAAGCAGACACAGGTGGAGTTTCAGGCCCCAGTCAATCAGTTCTGAGCGCGGGACGCAGTCTTAAGAAGCAGAAGCGAGCGACGAGAAGCCTCACCATGTGCGAGTTACCTGTCACTAGTGGCTTGGGGACGTCGGGAATTTGCGTCAACGGTTACATAAGCAAGCGGACCAACTGCGCCTGGGTGTCTCCCCACCCACCCAGCGCCAACTGTTGCACTTGGGGATCGTTCGCCCTTGCCACCTTTTGGCCTACGATGGACACAAGGGCAACCCACTGTGTACCTGATAGATTAGCGACCTCAATCTTCACCTTCATCTTCATCCTCCTCAACTTCTACTTCTTCGTCCACGGCTGCCTTCCTCATCTGCTCGCGACTTTTACTCCTGTTTGCCCTCTCATCGCGCCGTCTGCCTCTCCTCGCACTGCGCTTTCTTGCCTCTCGTCTCTTGACTTCATTAACGTCCACCTCAGAGTGCATCCGTCGGACATGCTCGTATAGCTTCTTCCCTTTCGAAAAAGGGCGAGTAGTCCGTGGGCAGCCCTCGATCGGGCACACAATCTGGGCTGAATTATGGCTGCCAGACCTGGAAGACACGTCGGACTCTGTGTCGGAGCCACTGTAGGCGTTGATGCCACTGGAAGGCGCGCTTGCAGCCCGAGACTGTGATCGGGACGCCGACCGGGTCAGCCACACCCGTTTGTGCACACTGTCCAGATGTCGCTGGAGGTGGTACCGCTTACGGAAGGGGATGGTGTGCCGGGGGCAGGAACGGTGCGGGCAGACCCGTGCTCGCTCTATAATGGAGACTCTGATCCCTGAACACGGCGTGTCGTTGTCGAGGCAGGATTTGCAGGGCCTTGAAGCCCCAGCTCGATCATCCGCCGGGTGGCACTGTAATCGTGATTCTTGACATGCTGTACATGGCCTCGAAGTGCGGACGACGACGACCTCACCTTTGTCCGTTTCTGACACAGGTGCTTCCTCTTCGCTGAATGACGCTATGTCCTCCGTCTGGTCGGCCAGATTCTCCGTGAAACATGGCGTGGCTCTGTCCTTGTCTCGACCCTCGTGGAACGTGCGGAACAGCATGTTCTCCCCAAACAGCTTCGCGCAGCGTTCACTCGCCTTCTCGACGATTGCCGGGTCCCAGCCCGTCAGGCTCGCCATGCCCATGATGTCACTCCAATCTCTCAACCCGAGGCTCTCGACTCGGCGCGAGCGTTTACCTTGGAAGGCGGACGCGGTTGATATGCCCGACACGTCGCTAGTAGCGGACGAGGAACGGACTCTTCGTCTCGATGCTGCTCGTGAAGAACTCCTCCCTCGGGTCGAGCTTTCCTCTGGCGTCTGTGAATTGGAGTATCTGCCCCTTGCCCTTCCTTGGGGTTTGGCCGCGTAGGTGTACCTCGCCTTATGCAGGCCAAGAAGCAGGTCGTCGAGATTGGAAAGAATGTGTCGAGCGCTGGGAAGGAAGTATTGGCGGGCTTTATCGTCGTCGGCGAGCGCAACAGGGCGGCCATCCGGTTCGGTGGCCTCGTCGTCGCTTGGTTCGCCTTCAAGTTTCGTAGACCGGCCATTGCCTTCCGCGGCGTCGTCATCATCGTCCTCGAAGACGAATGGCTGGGAGTAGAATATCGGATCATCGCCAAGTTGCCCTGACGGAGGACTAGCATCCTCAACTTCAAAGTCTCGACTATCTTCCCCTTGGTCGTGCTCCACTGTCTCTAGCGTTTCGGCGGCATCATAATCGTGTTCGATGTTCGTAGCGGTCGACTTGTCCTCCGTTTCCCGTTCTCTCGTGCTCCATCTTTCTCGTGCAAGTCTCGTAGCTGTCGCGACCAGCCATTCTTCCAGGTGAGCACTGGGCCTGAAATCGACGTGCGCACGACGTATGCCATCCTGGTACAGGCACGGAAGTAACTCCTCTCTGGGCACCTGGTCCGGATGCATCGGCCAAGCAGTCCACGACCTGGATAGCCTAAACCTGCTGTCGCTGCCCTGCAGCCGGGCTGCGGCAACGGAATCGGTATCATCTCCAGCCCCAGACGGTGCAGCGGACGAGGCTCGCTCCTTGCCCTTTCTACGCCGCTTGGTCTCTCTCCCAGCCACTGCCCGCGCTTTTCGTTTAAGCCCGAACGCGCTGAACAGATGGGTGCTCAGATCCTGGCTTCGCACACGATCGAGACTGAGGACCGTAGTTCTTTCCTCCCTCGTCCAGGAGAGCCATGTCGATGCGTGGCCAAAGTAACGATTAGGTCGTCGGAAGTAGGTTTGACTGTCTTGGCCTTGGGCGTGCGGAGTCCCCGATATCAACGACGGCACTATCCGCTGTGATGTCGAGGTGGCTCTTGAGGATGTGATGGCTTTTTGTGGGTGCGACTGCGTGATGTGAGGTGGCGATGAAAGCAGAATGCGATCAGGGGCCGGTGAGGATGCGACATGCTCGACATCTTCCACGTAAGTTGAGTCTGAGTCCATGGTGATGTGCCCCCCCGGGATGCTCGGTCACGCAGTAAATTTCCTGCATACGGAGGAGAACAGCCTTGTGGGCCTGGTGGAGTTTGCATCTCTCTTGTGGCGCGTTCCTTGGTTCGAGCAATTATGAGCAAGTGTGTGAACGAGGCTGACGACCGGGGGTCTGGCGGTGGGTGGGCGGACATGGGGGTTTCATTCTGGGCATCGCGGCTCTACGCGTCGAGTCCACGCTAGCGATTTTCCAAATTGACGCGCCCTCAGTTCAGTTAGTTCTCTCATTCCATGTTCCAGTACTCGATACTCTATCAGTATAATTTGCAGTCGAGTAGAGACCTTGAGTACTGTGGCAGTCTTTCAAGATGCCTAAGAAGGCTGCTTCCACTCCAACTGCCACACCCGCGCTAAAGAAGTCATCCTCCACTGGGGGACAAAAAACACTACTGGGCTTCTTTCAGAAGACTCCCTCCTCGAGCTCACCCGCGGCCCCAAGTGCCCGGCCTGCAGCTGCTGCCTCGACGCCTGCAACATCCAAGAGCCGGTCGAAGACAGTCAATACCACGTCGGGTTCCAGTTTGACACCAGTGGCCTCGAGTGATGCCTTGGAACCCGAACATGAGGACATACCAAATACGAAGGCAAGTCTGCCGCCGTCCAGGAGTCTGCCATCGCCAGTCTCAGCTGACGGCGAGCAGACTAATGGCACGGGCGACCTGACGAGCCGGGGCACGCCGTCCCGAAGAGTAAGCCGAAACATCACGCTCCATTCACTTCAGGGTGACTGTTGACACTGTACAGGCCAAGACGAAGAAGATCAATTACTTAGAGTCAGACAGCGAGGGAACCGACGGTGACGACGTGTTCAAACCCAAAGCTGCGCCCAAATCTCGACCTACTAAACGCAGACGCCTCTTTGATAGTGACTCAGAGGATGTCTACGAACAGGAGAATGAGTTGGAGCAAGAGGATGGTGAACATACCGCTCTCATCTATGGCGGCACAGGGCTAATACGGCCGTAGATATTGACGACTTCATTGCCCCGGACGACTCTGAGGACGAGGTTCGTCCGATCAAGCGCAAGCGGTCATCCAAGAGCACTTCAAGAACCGCATCTTCTCATTTCGTTCCTACCGCCGATGAGGGACGGGATTTGGAAGTGGACGATGTCGACGTTCCAGAAGGCAGTTCGACTGCTCAACAGTGGACTTACGATCCCGAGAAACCTCAGCCTCTGCAACAACGACCTACCAACATCCCGCCCAAACAGCCCAGTGGAAAGAAACAGAAAGCACACATGACCGAGCCCGAGCAGCGACACGCTTGGCTCGAGGACGTCAGAGACATTGACCGCAATCCTCCTGGTCATCCTGATTACGATCCAAGGACTTTGTATATTCCGCCCATGGCGTGGAGAAACTTCTCTCCATTCGAGAAGCAGTATTGGGAGATCAAGCAGAAGTTCTGGGATACCATTGTGTTTTTCAAGAAGGGCAAGTTCTATGAACTTTACGAGAATGACGCCACAATTGGTCACCAACTGTTCGATTTGAAATTGACGGACCGCGTCAACATGAGAATGGTTGGCGTCCCGGAGTCGAGCCTGGAACTGTGGGCAAACCAGTTTGTTGCAAAGGGATTCAAAATTGCTCGAGTTGACCAGCAAGAAACCGCTCTCGGAAAGGACATGCGTGAACGAGACGAGAAATCAAATGGCAAAAAGAGCAAGGAAGACAAGGTGATCAAGCGAGAGCTGGCTTGTGTTTTGACGGCCGGCACCTTAGTCGACGGTGCCATGCTTCAGGATGATATGTCGACCTATTGCGTCGCTATCAAGGAGTCAGAGAAGGATGACCTGCCTTCATTTGGAGTGGCATTTGTCGATACAGCCACAGGACAGTTCAATGTCTCTGAGTTCATTGACGATGCAGACCTCACCCGATTTGAGACCTTCATTGCTCAGACGAGACCACAAGAGCTCTTACTCGAGAAATCTGGCATCACCACCAAGACACTGCGGATCCTTAAGAACAACACTGGTCCCACAACCATCTGGAATTATCTGAAACCCGGCAAAGAATTCTGGGAAGGCCATATCACAGCCAAAGAGATAGAAGCAGAGGACTACTTTCCTACAGGCTGGCCGACCGTCTTGGAAGAGGCTCGAGAGAAAGATCTCCTGATGTCCGCCCTTGGGGCTCTTATCCAATACCTACGGACGCTCAAGATCGAGCGGGATCTGATCACCATGGGCAACTTCACGTGGTACGACCCTATTAGAAAGGCCACAAGTCTCGTCCTTGACGGTCAAACCCTGATTAACCTGGAAGTCTTCGCCAATTCCTTCGATGGTGGTATCGAAGGCACACTGTTTCAACTTCTCAATCGCTGCGTCACACCCTTTGGAAAACGTATGTTTAAGCAATGGGTCTGCCATCCACTCATGGACACCAAAAAGATCAATGCCCGACTGGACGCTGTCGACTCACTGAACGCGGATGCAAAGGTCAGAGACCGATTCACCTCGCAAATGACTAAGATGCCGGATCTAGAGAGATTGATCTCTCGTGTCCATGCTGGAACCTGCAAAGTCCAAGACTTTGTCAAAGTCCTTGAGGGCTTCGAACAGATTGACCATACCATGTCGCTGCTACGCGACGGCACAGGTCGACCCTCAGACAGCGAAGGTGTCATCGGGCAGCTCATCTCGGCCATGCCGGACCTCGGGCCCCGTCTAAAGTATTGGCACGACGCCTTCGACCGCCCAAAGGCAAAAGAAACAGGCATACTAGTCCCTGAGCCTGGCGTGGAAGAGGACTTTGATAATTCTCAAGCCACGATAGACTCTATTAACAAGAAATTCGACACCCTCATCAGCAAATGGCGTGGCGAGCTGGGGTCCAATAAAATCTGCTACCGCGACAACGGCAAGGAAATCATGCAGATGGAAGTTCCGCTCAAGGTCAAGGTTCCTGCCAGTTGGGATCAAATGTCTGCTACCTCCACAGTCAAACGGTATTACTTCCCTGAACTGCGCGCCCTGGTGAGAAAGCTGCAAGAAGCGCAAGAAACTCATTCCCGAGTCGTCAAAGACGTTGCTCGCAAATTGTACGCCAAATTTGACGAGAATTACGAAATTTGGCTCGCAGCGGTAAAAATCATTGCCCAACTCGATTGTCTGATTTCCCTGGCGAAAGCGAGTACCAGCCTAGGCCATCCCAGCTGCCGCCCCGAGTTTGTGGATGAAGACCCGGAAACCGGCAAGGCGACGCTTGAACTCGTCGACCTGCGCCATCCCTGCCTTCTCACAAAAGTGGACGACTTCATTCCCAATGATATCGTCCTCGGTGGCGCGAGCCCGAATCTCACACTGCTGACTGGCGCAAATGCGGCCGGGAAATCTACAGTCCTCAGGATGACTTGTATCGCGGTGATCATGGCTCAGATCGGATGCTATCTCCCGTGCGCGTCCGCCCGACTCACCCCGTTCGATCGCATCATGTCCCGCCTTGGGGCGCAAGATCACATCTTTGCCGCACAATCGACCTTTTTCGTCGAGCTGGCCGAGACGAAGAAGATCCTCGCCGAAGCCACGCCGCGCAGCCTCGTCATCCTCGACGAACTCGGCCGCGGCACGTCCTCGCACGACGGCGTCGCCGTGGCGCAAGCCGTCTTGCACCACCTCGCCACGCATGTCGGCTGTCTGGGCTTCTTCGCCACACACTACCACAGCTTGAGCCAAGAGTTCGCGCACCATCCCGAAGTCTGTGCCAAGAGGATGAAGATCCTGGTTGACGATGCGGACCGCCGCGTCACGTTCTTGTACAAACTTGAGGAAGGTACCGCGGAAGGGAGTTTCGGCATGCACTGCGCGAGTATGTGTGGGATTCGAGAGGGGGTCATCGAACGGGCAGAAGAAGCGGCCAAGCAGTGGGAGATTAGCCACGTCATGCACGCGCAGCTGAACAGAGGGGCTGACAAGAAGGAGGAGGATACGTTGGAAGAACCTCCATTGGGCATCCTCAGCGACGTTGCCTGGATTTTGAAGGCCAAGGAAGAGGGCATTGGTGACCGCGCCCTGGAGGTCTTGATGAAGTGTATTGAGGCGTTGTGAGGGGCCGTAGCGGATGCTGCGGGTGCGAACCTGCCTTTTCTAGGCACCGAGGAGCGAGTGGTCGTCTCACAGTGTGAGTGATTATGACTGCCCCGCCGTCAAATTTGTACCAATGTCGAACCGTTGTGTCTGTCATTCAGAAGAAGGGCGCAGAGGGCAGTTGCATTTATCGTTCCAGTAGGCGGGTTGGGGCGGGGTCGGAGTTTTGACTGAGAGTACCTAGTTATTTGAGGGATCGAAAACCTTGTGCCATGACGGTACATACAGCGAGGTTTCATATCATAGTGCGAGACACAAACGGAGAATATTATACCTTATGAATTAGCAAGGACAGTCATACAACCGTGAGGACATGGGCACGTTACATACGGCGGCCCCGTGCGTCTCTCGTGCTTCTCCTAATAAGCAAATCTTTAGGCAAATCTCGAAACCTTGCGCTGTTCAACTAGGTAGGTATATACCTGACCTAGGCCAAGGACTCGCGCGTGTACGGGGAACAAATTGAACGTGGGTGTGGTTTGAGGGCAGATTGGGATTGTCATCGGCGTTGGCGTCGGGTTTACGGAGTAAGAGCATCATGATATGAAGGACGAATGAGCCAGAAGTGAAAGCGAGGTTACAGCATGCCGATCTCGGGCCTGCGGTCTCAGGTTCAACGCGGTTTTTAATTCGGGGTTTGCTCTCGTCTCACTTGACTTCACTTCCCTTCCATGCTAGACTGAGCGTCGTTGGATCGTATGTGAAGAATTGCCGTCGTCATGCTGTTCGGTCTGTCTCCTAGAGAAAGCCCGCGGGAAAAAGTGAGGGAGTGACCTTTCAACACCCTCACACCACTCGATCTACCTGGGTAGCTCATGTTCTGGAATGGTGAAGACGAGGATTGTCCAAGTTCCCTGTTCGACCAGCACTGAATTCCAATGCTTCCGTATCCATCCGTGTTCAGTGGACCCAATTTCATCAGCTCATGCATTCTCCTGGAGATGGGACCATGCGATGTGACACGTCGCGACAATGGCTCGATGTCTGGGATGACTTGAGGTGAAACTAGAGCAACGCAGAGCAGATATCTCAGACCGACTCGGCTGTCTTGGCAGCGACGACTTGAGTATCCGTGGTATCGGCCACAGCGGCGTCACCATCCTCAGCAATACCATCGTCGTCGATCTCGTCGTCCTCGAGGGGCTCAGCGTCCCTGTTCGATCAATGTTAGCAGAAAGTTTCTGAAGGCGGGGAAGAGAAGAGAAAACATACTCGGACTCGACAGCAGGGAGATTTGCCGGCATACTCTTCTTGCTAGGATTGACACCGTTTGCCTTTGCGGCGGTACCAGCATCGTCCACTTTCTTCACCTTGGCAGCCTCTGGTGCAGCATGTTCGTCAGGAGTGGCAGCAGACAAAACTGTCTCATCCTCACTCGCAGCTTCGGTCTTGACCTGGCGAAGAGGAGCCGCTTTCTTTCCCTTTGCCGGAGTAGCTTTGGTAGGAGTGACCTTGGCTTCGCCCTCGTCCTCAGCAACACTATCCACAGCAGCGGCGGCGGCGGCGGCGGCTTTCTTCTTCGCGGGTGTTCGGCGCTTCTTTGGAGGTGGCTTCTCCGCCTCGTCGTCATCGCCAGCTGCTGAGGTTTCGCCATTGACAGCGGCTTCGGCCTCCTTCTGAGCCTTGGTCTTGCGGCCACGCTTCTTCGGAGTGGTAGCAGGGGTCTTGGGTGTGGCTGGAGCATCTGTCCAAGCGGGTCAATTGGAGGTGAACTAGAGGTGTGAACAAAAGCAGGAATTGAAGATAAGAGATGAACGTGCTACAAAAAAAATTGTTTGAAACTCACCTTCAGACTCGTTCGCTTCACCGTCTGCTGGATCGGTAGAAGCAGCCTTGCTCTTCCCATCACCTGAATCGTCCTCACCGTCGTCGTCACCAGTTTTGGCCTTGACAGCTTTCTTGGCGGCAGGCTTTCTCGGAGTCTTTGGCTTTGGAGACGCCGCAGCAGTGGATGCCCCATCGGTCTTCAGGCCGTTCCCGAAGACCTTTCTCTTGACCGCGCACCAGGCAGTGTTGGCAGAGTTGCTGTTCTTGGAACCCAGAGCTTTTGCCAAACCATCGTAGTCGACCTGGCGGACTTGTCAATCGAGGCGAGCACATTTGGAGAACTGTTTCAATTATAGATCGGGACTCACCTGAATGTCGCCGCTCTTGAGATTCTGAAGGCCAGCCAGGAGAACTTCTTGCTCACGAGGGGTCAAGCCGGCCACCCCTCCCTTGCTCTTATTGTCATCAGACATCGTGACTGCCACGCAGGATCGTAGATGGATGTGGTGTGGTGATGAGTAACAGCAATGGTTGGTGGTGAGAGTATGAAGTAAATGTGTTCCAACCGAGCATGAAAAAAAGAGATTGAGTGAGAGAAGTCTGATGGCAACCTGGAAAGGGTGAAGAAGATCACATTTATAGATGAATTCGAATCCAACGCTTGGCCGATTGTTTTGCGAGTGAATGGCATATGAAAATTCTGCCGCACATGTGCCCAGTGACATTGACAGTGAGGTGAATGGTAGCTCATAATCCTTCGGATATCACTCATCGCCGCCATTTGGACGTGACGCTGCTTTGGACCCCAGTCAATCGTTCGTACACCTTGGACCAGATACCTGGAGTGACATCTCGCGCGGCCCTGCCACCAGCTGATTCGGGCCGTACATAGAACTGAGTGGGATTTGACCTTAGAAAGAAGCCTCGAGTGACAAGTGGTCCTATCCATTCAAAGCTTACAGGCCGCAGCAGGCTCTTTGCAGGCCGCGTATTTGCGATGTTCAACGACACGACATCCGTGATCATAGTTGATCGCATAAACCTCATTTCCAGGGTAGCGTCTGCCGGAAGATTTGTGACATAAGACATGGCCAGCTTAGGAGAACCTTGAGCTGACGGTGGAAGTCGAAGAAAGATCTCGGTCACCATCGGCCTGAGCGCCCAGTTTATGCATACGAAGGGCATGGCACCAGCCAGCCATACTACCGACGAGAGTTAGCGTAGCAGACGCTGAAGTTGCAGCAAATACGTACAGGCAGCGACTGTCCATATCGAGCTGCCACTAACCCAGTGGGCTGGAGCTACTATGATAGTGACAAAAGCCAGGGCCATGATGCTGGTGAAGCGGAGGAAGGTAAGCATGTATATCCTCCCATTGCCCGCCGTGTATATGCGAATTCTCCTCTTGTAGACTGTAACCCGTCAGCCGTCCCTGAACGAAAGAAAATCGGTCGAGACTACCTTTGGGCTCCGAACGAGGAGGCAGCTTCCTTGTCAGCTGCTCAATGTGAAGTCGTTCCTTCGGAGACAATGTCAGGCCATGGGCGATGTCGGCCTTGGGGATGACCTTGAGAGGCACTGGAATCTTGCGGCCATGGTCGAGAGATGTCGCCTCATCTGCGCATGGAACCAGTTCCCTGTCCTCTGGCGCGGGCGCAACTGAAGGCTCTAACGGTCGGGCATTGTCCTTTTTCTGGGCCTGCAGCCGGCTGTGAACAACTTGGATGGGTAAATTCTCATTCTTCTTCTGTTCCGACCCTTTCAGTTGGGGCTTGAAGGTGCTGAAACGAGCTCGTCTTGAGGCAGCATGCTGGCGTGAGCACGTGTAGAAGGCATGGCGGGTATCGGCCACCAGAACCGGAGGCAGGCTTCTCATTGACCTGTGGGATCGGTGATCAGCAATACAGTTGCAGCAGTCTGTCTCGACGCGGTCGTTACAACCACAGGATTCGGAGATGTTACGTGTTTGTGAAACTCGGTGGAAACTGCGCCGAGAAACGAATATCGCAGGGGACAACTTCCACCTCCGACTGTATGATCGTCTTCTTCAGTTGCTCGCTCGCATAGAGGTTCAGCGAACAATGCACGACCGCAGCAAGTGAGCTAGAGGAGAGCCGCTGCTGCCAGATTCCTCTTAAAATGTGGCACTGGCTGCTGAAATGGTCCTTGACGACGGTCTCACTCCTCTCTCTTCTGTCCTCGCATGGCCTGGCTTACGCTCCGCTCTCGGATAGCACCATCCTCGACCGCCTCCCCCAGCCAGATACGGCTGATTTCGACATACATACAGGCAACCTGCTTGCTCCGATTCTGATTCCTCGAGTGCCGGGCACCGAAGGCTCAAGGAAGGTGCTTCAACACTTCGTCGACTTCTTCCACAGATCGCTTCCAGATTGGACTGTATCTTTCCAGAACTCGACCTCGAAGACGCCTACACACGGTGACAATGAAGTTCCATTTGTGAACTTGATTGCCACTCGAGATCCGCCATGGGCCGCCCCAGGCAATGTTGGGCGGTTGACTTTGGTCGCCCACTACGACTCGAAATACCAGCCGGATGGATTCATTGGAGCCACCGACTCCGCTGCGCCATGTGCCATGATTATGCATGCCATCAAATCCATCGATGCTGCTCTGGCCAAGAAATGGGATACAATGCGAGCCCAAGGTTTCACTGATCCTGACTTTGAGGAGCAGAAGGGAATACAAGTCTTATTTCTTGATGGGGAGGAGGCTTTTCTAAGCTGGACAGCTACAGACAGCATATATGGCGCCAGATCACTTGCCGAGGAGTGGGAACGTACCGTACATCCTGCAACAAGCATTTACAAGAACTACCTCGACTCTATCGAGCTGTTCGTCTTGCTTGATCTGCTCGGCTCCCCGGAAGATCTACCCATCCCATCATGGCAACACAGTTCTCATTGGTCTTATGTGAGGATGGCTGAGGCTGAACAACGCCTTCGCAAATTGGGTCTGTTCAGGAGCAAGTCCCGGACCTGGCTCTCCGAAAAGGACAAGAAAGAAACAGACCGATTCCAAAGCTATGTCATGCAGGACGACCACATCCCGTTCATCGCCCGCGGCGTTCAAGTTCTGCACCTCATCCCTGCTCGCTTTCCTAGCGTTTGGCACACTATACGCGACGATGGCGATCACTTGGACATCCCGACCGTGGAGGATTGGGCTCTCCTCACAACCGTGTTTGCTGCCGAGTACATGGAACTGGAGGGTTTTTTCGACGAGAAGCCCGCTTCCCAGAGACCGAGAAGGCACGAACTTACTAGTAAGGATGAACTTTGAATCCTCTGTCCTCAGTTGACCTATCTGACTTCTGAGTTTGAAAGGCTGAGCGCCGACGAGACGTTGCTCGCCAGGGAGCACAAACATCAAACACCCTCTGGTACAGCATCCTTATCAACCGGCGACCCGCAGACCGCAACCCTGTTGTGAGTGGCCTAGGACATGAGGCACGAAAGTTGGCTCTCGCCAAGGTCGGTCGAGCCCTTTGGCTGGAGCTCGCGTGCCCAGTTGAGTTCGAAGCCGAGCAATAGGAATCTTCTGCAGCCAGCCACTGTCGGCTCGTCCTGGTCAAAAGGCTGATCTGCATTGGTTGCCGAGACGCCTAGCATCCAATTTCACGAAAGGCTGACGCACGAGGGACCAGCTCTATATGTGGTCAGAATATGCAGATCGGTATTCGTGCTTTCTGATAAGCCTCTGCTTCATTGTCAGAGTTGCACTTGGGAGCCCCAAAGGCACCAGTACACGGCGTTGAGGTGTTGACCTCGACTGAGCCATTGCGGTGGATGCCCGTTCTCATCCACGAATTCCGAGGACAAGGTCACAAGCTCCACACATGGGCAACTGGACAATGTGGTCTGGTTAGGGGAATCACATCGGTCAAAACATGCAGGGCCGCATGATTCTGGGGACACCCTACGTCGGGTCACCTGTGCTGAGCCAGGTTCCTCAGCCAAAGACTGGTTGATCCGCGGCTCAAAATCAATTATACGCTTTCCTCTTGGGGGATGGCGGCCTCGAAAGAGAACATACTGTTACGCAGACTTGAACTTCCAGTCTCGTCTGGTATAATACTTCAATATGCACTGTCATTGACAGCGGTTACCATGCCTACACGATTGTTCAGCACGTCCTCATTATGTTCAGAGTCACATCTCTAATAACGTTTTTCTCAATAATGCCTCCCTTCTTCTCGCCCCGAGGCTAACACTTCCTTGCAACTCCACGTCCAGTCTACCATTCGAATCTATAACGATTTAGACCATCGACAACAATCTACACTGCTGATCAGCCATTCAGTCACTCGACCTTGACTTGCTGATGATTTGTGAGGAGATTTAGTCAGCCCGTTGGCAGTGGACGCGTCAACACTCTGCAAGGACTTTACAACGGTGGGTACTTCTACCTGCACGCTCCCGCTTCAGCACATACATGGTATTCCTCTACGATCCCTTGATACAAGGGACCTTTCCTGTTTCTCGACTGCACCTTCTCTTTCGATCGTCAAGGTGCTTGCCTTAGAGGAATAGGTAACGTTGGCCTTCCAATGTGAATGATGCCTTTTGCATTCTGAAATCGAGCGTCTGCCGGACTGATACGCCTTCCTTGGAGTATTCAATACTTTGCGCCGCCTTCTCCGCCTTCGACCACAACGTCTATACTTCCAAGGTCATACACTGGTGCACGTGGAAGTCGCACGGGCCTTACTCGCTACAACAACTCTGAACTGATCAGCCCTGGAGAGTCCTGGACGACACACCAATGTTGCTTGGGAACGAGCTTAGTAGTCGGTCAATCATTCTGTTATGCGGCCCTCGGCTACGGACCACCAAGATCCTGGACCGAATAGCCTTGTGCGCAGGCTTTCAAACTTCGGCCGATTTCTAGGGGCGTCTTCCATACACGACTGTTGAGCGGCCATGTTAAATGCTCTTTTAAGTCCTTCGTGCTTCTAGGTTTCGGAAACCCCCTTAGTCGTACTGCTCAGTTGGCCTCCGTACTCGGCTCTGCCACCACATGGGTACCCTCAGATGGAGTCGTCCGTGTCCTCTACACAGGGATAAAACTGTCGGAGCCTGCTGGAGTCGGGCTGGTGAGACAGCATTCAAACTCCTGATTTCTTCGAACAGCTGGGAAGTCTTCACAAGAAGCTTATCGGTGGCTCGAAATGGAAGAGGAAGAAATGTGCTCGCATCAATGTAAACCGGGTCCCTGGCTATGTCGGATGGTAGCCCTCAACTCCATGCTTCATAATAACACAAAATTTTGGATCTATTCATCATGCGTATCAATATCAGCATTCCCCATTTGTTTCACATCCAACCGCCTGCGCCATCCTCGTCTTCCCAGGCGCCACGGATCCGCTCACCGCTGCGGCCACTGCTGCGGCTGGGTCGAGGGCAACTCGGATACCATGCTCATCCGGTCCAGGTAATTACTGGAATGACCAGAGGTTCCTGACACCATTGACTGTGGCCGGTCCCGGGGATACCCAGGCGCGTTGAGTTTTTGGACGTAGAAATTCTCCGATACCATGCTGCCTGGGTCTGAGTGCGCTTGCGCGTTGGGTGAGCCCGTATGGGTCCCGCCGTCAGAGCCCGACAGCTCGGACATGGTGCTCATTCGGTGGTCGGTCACCAGAGAATCGCGTGACGGAGGTGCCAGATGGCCTGTATGGAACGTCGAGCCCGGTAGCTCGGCGAGGAATTGCTTTGGTGGATCCGGCTGCTTCAGAGGGGCGTAATAACTCATGCGCTGCTGCGGGTGGACGACGGGTTGATAGCTCATCCGCCTGTCCTCGTTCCGGAATGCTGGGTGATTGGCCAGGGTCTGCCAGCCCAGGTCCTGTTGCGGCGACAGCATCTGCGGCGACAGCGGTCTGTTGTATATTGCCTGCGAGTTCACAATCTGGGAGCTGGACATATGTGAGCCCGCCTGGAATCGGGTCGACCCGGGGCCGGGGGTAATTGGCGTCATGCCCATCGTCTTGACCGTCTCCTCTACTCGTTCGGCCTTTTTGAGAATGCGCTCCACCAAGACCTTGTGTGCATTGTCGAGGTTCTTGCGCACAAACGAGGTCATCAGCATGTTACATTTCATGTCGCCGTCTTCTCGGATATACAGGCCCTCGCGTGGGACGTCAAGACCGAGTTCTCTCGGCTCCGGGGGTTCGCCAGGGAGAGAGCCTCCAATTGTCCACTTTTCCCGGATGTCCAAGCCCATCGGGGCGTAGATGTGTGTCTGTAACCCATTCGGCATATCGTGGAAACATGCTTTATAGCTGACCTTGCCCTTCATCATTCCGCCGGGCAGAAAGTGGATTTTATCCGTCAGCTCCTGCCAGGCACAGTCGAGGAACTCGTCGGCCGGTGCGTCTCGGGGAGTCTTTATGGGATGGTGTTCGATAACGAGCGGATTTAATTCGATCATTTCATTGTGGTTGTGCAGCATTGCTATCGCGACTTCTCGCGACACTTGCGGAGGGAGAGGGGTAATGTTTGTGAAGAGCGTGCGTTTCGGCATCTTTGACAGCTGTTCAGCTGCTCTCGTGGGTATGATTTCCTTCGCTGTCGATCAGACTTCCTAGGCGGATCAAAGGTGGGACTCTCTCGATTCTGAAGGATGGACAGTGGGTGGCAGATCAGAGACTGTTCCTCGTGCTGCCAGGAGAGACTCGTACGATGGCGACTGCAGCGAGAATCTGCGTCTGGGGGGCAGTTGAAGCGTATGGTGTTGCCCAGATCGGCACCTTGTCTGTGCCTGAGTCGGGACTTTACTGCTAAAAGGCGGGCTAAGCAAGTGGTCGATTTCTTTGTAAGGGACTCCATTCCCCCCTCCCGTCCTAAGAATAGCTTTACGAGTTAGTGCTTATCAGCTCTTTGGGAATGGCCAACCGTGCCCAATGCCACGTTCACACGCGTGAGGTTGTGGCTGACGGCGTCGGTATTGGTCGAGGCCCTGCTCTGGGGCTTGCCGCTTCAGCCTTCTCGTTGCTTTGACACCCACCTTTCCGGCTAGTGCCACGGGGACATCGGTTGTCGATTCGGAATGTCCCCCAAGCGTGCCCAAGGCTCGTGCGGTTTTGTACATGCGAAACACTGGTTTCGCAAATGTAAGATGACTTCTTGGCGGAAGAACGGAGTAGTGTCTGCAAATTCATGCGTATTTGGATGCAGCCCGTCGTTCTGGGCGTGTCGCGTCTGAAGGAGTGACATCTCCCCGCGGGCGACCACGCCGCTAGCAAAGGCCGGCCTACGATGCTCTGTGCAGCAAGTAATGTGTAGTGTGTCCGGCGTTGGACGTGCTGTGTTTCATGGACGTCACCGACTGTGGCGCTGACTGTCCACCGGATACGAGCAAAGCTTCCCCCATTGTGGTGCCGCACCGCCTTACTGAGCCCTGTCAGTAATTAAATGCTTTGGATCTCGAACTCGAAACCCATATGATTGTGCCCCCTTCGCCACTATCCCAGATTGTTCAATCTTTCGACAGCCTCGACGCTCATGCAGAAAGTCGGATCGAACGCCTTCAGCCCGGGCTCGTTGTATATGGCCAGCGTCGCGAGGCCGAGATAGGAGTGCAGCAGATCTGTGGTGGCTTGCAGTGAGCCGGAGTCTGCGAAGACTCTATTTGGCAGTCTCGGAGCCCACTCACCAGGAAGTTCTCCGGGTCCCTTGGCGAAACCGCCAATTATATGTGTGACTTTCCCCAGCAGATATCGTCGCATTGCCTCGGTATCGACCAGGTGATGTCGGCGAAGGATCTGCTGGTACATCAGTGTTGGGACTTTTTTGCTGACAACTTGCTTCGTTCATGTGGATGTACTGACTGCAAGGGCTCCCACATTCCAGAAGCAGTAGCACGTGTCTGCCATCTTTCCACAGCGGCCACAGAAGCCGGCAATCAGTGTCTCGGACTCCAGACGTTCCTGCATCGGAGACAAGTCAAACAATGATTGCTGGGGTTCAAGGTGTTTGTTTTGCTGCTCTGGGGCGGGTCGGTCCTCGGGTTGACCTTCGTCATCGTCGTCATTCTCATCTTTGTCCTCTTGCTCTTCGATCCAGGTGGTTTGCCGGTCCAGCATCCACCGGGTACAGCTGGCAAGGTCAACTTTGGCTTGTCTGGCCATTTCGTCCATCGACACCGCGGGAGTCTGAAGAAGGCTGAGAAACGAGAGCGTCGCGATTCCGCAATAGTTCAGCCCAGCTACCGCCGACGTCAGCACGTGAGTAGTCCGACGCCAACGCAACAGAGGAGCAGCAGGAGGACGTACAGTGCGGTTCTAGCAAAGGGGCTTGACCGATTCCACCCTCTATCGACTGAGATAGACGCAATATATCAGCGGTGGCCGGTGGCTCGGTAGACTTGAGAAAACCCTCCTCACCTGACAGTTTGCAATGTATCGTCGCAACCCCAGCTCGTCGAAGGGCGTGTGGTCTTCTCCCGTCTGCCCACCTCCTTTCCCTCCTATGCCTTGTAGGATTTTCATAATGCCCACCGCACACATGCAGTGTCTCGGATCATCAGCCCCTTCGACGGCGTCGTCTTCGCCCAGAAACTCGCCAAAGCTCCCATTCGGCCGTTGCAAGCTCCTCACCCACGCGAGACACTCCCTCTTCTTGACCCTCCCCAGGCCATCCCCCAGGAGGACCAGCGTAGCCAGGGCGAAGAACGTGTTGGGCAAGTTCGCCGGGTCCCAATGCCAATTATGGTAGCTGCGCAGCCCGCCCATCATCGTGCCCGTGAAGCCGCGAAAGCCGCCCGTGTGCACGACTTGGCAGCCGTAGATCCATTCGATCCAGCTGCGTTTCTCGGTCGCGGGGACGACCGTGTCCAGCGCGCCCAGCAGATCCAGCGCCGCGACGATGAAGAAGCCAAAGCTCATGCGGCTGGATTCGCCGGCCGTGTACGGCTCGGGCAGGATCTGCGCGCACCGTTTCCAATATTTGATGTGCCGCTCCTTGTCGAGATGGTAGGCTTGTCCCTCTACGGGAGGCATGACTGCAGTGGAGCAAGAGCACCAGGACTGGTGATGGGGGATCGAAGTTAATCGGCTCGCATACCATTTACCATGTACCGTAGACGATATGCCATAGACCCTATCCAGTCTACCGTATCCCGTGTACCGTGTAACCAAGTCATTCAAGAGGTCCAGACCCTTGCTTGAGAGAAGATAAGAGGTATCGGTTGGACGAGCTCGAGAGCCGAAATCTTGCTGGGGCCGAGGTCGGTGGAAGCCCAGGAAGGACACGCACACAACGCAAAGGCCACAGTGCACGGTGGACAGTCAATTAAGTGTGAAAAGTTCTCTCTTCGGAGTCCTGATGTCCTTGCTTTGGTGCGCAGGAGATGAAGCCCGGGGACGTGGCCGGTGATGTGTGCATGATCGGAAAAGTAGATCAATTAGTGAGACAGATGCCTGTGTTGGGTTCGAGGCTACACAGTATGTGCTTGGTATACGATACCACTTCCATCAACCCAGTGAACCGGTAGTCTTGTGTGACTGTGACTGTGACTGGGAAATCGAGACTTGAGTGGCAATATACTGTATGTTTGACACTTGGATGAATTTCAGTGCACCGCCTGCCTGCTGCTGATAGCTCCGGTCTATGGAATCGTCTCTGCTTCGTTCATTGTCTTCGTCTTCTCATGAAAATGACTCGCCCGAATCTGCTCTGCTCTACTTATGCAATATGCCGAAAAGAACCTCAACCTGTCGCTGCACCTGAACATGGATGTTTCGCTGCTACCAACCTCGCCTCACATAAAGTCGTCATCACCCAGTCCATCGTCGTAGCTAGTCGTGTCTGCGACACCTCGGCCCATATCCCGCGTTGCGGCGAGTGAGGACTTGGTCTTTGCTGCCTTGCTCTTCTTGCCACCCTTCTCCTTTTCCTTCTCCTCCTTCATCTTCTCGTTACTCAACGCGGTGAGGGCGCTCGCCGCCTTCTTGATCTCTGCACTGGGCATATCGGCGCATATCTGTTTCACAAAGGTGGACACCCAAAGCGAATAGTGCGGTTTCGACGACGCGGCTGTGAGGAGTGGCACCAGGGTAGCCGAGAGTGCGTCAAACTGCGATTTCGTGGCGGGCTTGAACAGAGGATATTTGGAGAGATCGATCGCCTGCCCAGGGTTCGTTTTGTCTTCTATTATCACCGCCTTGTTGGGAGCAGTTCGCGACTTCGGCCCCATCCCGACGTTGGCAAAGAGATCTTGGGCGTGTTTGAGATCGGCATCCTGTTCGGACTGCCGTAACCTTGCCCGTTTTTCTGCGTCATCCTCTTCCTCCGAGCTCTCTTCTTCTTCCTCCTGGGCGCGTCTGCGTCGGTTCGCCTCCCGGTGCTCCTCTATGCGCTGAGACTTTGGCTTCTTGTTGGCCGCGGCTTCGGCTTCGGCTTTAGCCTTGGCTGCGGCTGCTTTTGCGGCTTTCTCGCGTTCGGCTTCGGAATCCTCTTCTTCCTCCCAGTTATCCGCCACCTAGAAGTCGTCAGTCTTGCGATGCAGTCTGACTCGAAACTGCTAACGTACAGCGTCAGAGTCTTCTTCGTCGGCAAACTTGCGGCGCGCGACAGGAACGTCTATAGACTCTTCCTCAGAAGACTCCTCGGACTCGTCGTCTGCATCGCAAGACAGTTAGCACAATGGGACGGAGACTTCTGCTCGGTGCGAAGGCAAATTGCCCCGCCATCCGTTCATGACGACTCACCCCACTTCGAAGGAGGCATGATTGTGTGGTTACGCGAGAGAGGTTACGGTCAATTCCTCTTATTGCAGGCGATGTTTGGTCGCAGCTGTATCTGGGTATCTGTGCAGGACGAGACGGGTTCGTTTCGGAGAGACAATAGGATGCAGCCAAGTGCAATTCACTGACTGGGAATTTTGAATGTGAACTTGGAAGAGGGTGCTCGTCGCCAAGCGAAGGAAAGCCTATTTGCGCATCACTCCGGATATGGACTAGCGTGATACCGCCCGGTCATCACTCGCTTTGTCACCGCAGCTCCCTCGTGGTCGCCTGTGTTTCTGCAGTCCACCAAGTCGTGATAGCCAACTGGTGATTCGCAATCAACACACGGCCTCTTCCAGCAGTCTGCTGCTGGCGTTGCGACCGCAGGAACGGATATATCCTTCCTGGGCTACTGCGTGGTGGTGCACTACCTTCTACCGTCCTCCGCTACGACTCACGGGCCCTTTCACTCGCGAGGTCCGGAATGCGAGGTAGAGTCCCTTTTGTGTGGGAACGATTTCGAGGATCTGCGATAAGATTATCGACGCATTCCTGGACAGTCACTGCAAGGAGATACTGTTCATCGCAAGTTATGTTGGCGTGTTGTCCACTGACGGAGCCTCAGAGTATACACGACCCGAACCTCCTAAGTTTCATAATTCCTAACCGTCATATTTCCTAACGTAATGTGCGAGACCAGCAGCCAACCCCAGTCATCCTCAAACCTGGTCGTTCTGTCCGACTACGAGAAGTCGAGGACCCCGATGATCCACTTGTCCACGTATGGCAATTTGCAGACAATGGCAGACTCCCACCCGTTCAGTTGCAAGAGGAACGCCTTGGATCGTTGAAGATGGCAACCGGCTGGTATTCCTACAGATCCGGTTGCACCCAAGATATGAGGAGCCCGGCAAGTGGTCTGTGCCCTTAAGCGAGGCAGCCGAACTACCTGACGCAGCAGGCCGTTCGTTCCATCGGTTGCACCAAACCTAAGCTGAGGAAACAATGATTTGAACATGCTAAGCCGGAGGGGTTCGTGATTGACAGATTGTCGAGGGACCAAGCCGAGGAAGAGTCCCTTTGATGGCCCACTTTCGCCAAACCGACATCTGTATGAAGCGGAATCTCTGCAACTCAAGAAAAACGATACCAGAACATTGATGCAACCATCGGGAAAACACTGTCCATGTTTCCAGCCGCAGATTCGCGAGTGCGAGTTCCATCTCAGGGTCCGAGTAGCACTCATTCAACACCGCTAGAGATGACCTGATGTGGATCAGCCGGTCCTCTATTTGCCATATTCGATGAAGTGTCGACTAGTCAATCGGAGCGGCATTGGGGACCAAATGTTGAACGATTTTTCTGGTCGTACTCTTATGGAACACCGGGGATACGCCTCTGGTGGTGCTAACCGCCAATGTACTGCGTCGTTTGCCGTATTATGGAGGGCGCACGGTGACGACGTTCTAGATTAAAGTGAGGGAGATACCGTTCGTCACAGATCACCTCCTTCCAAGCTCGATTCAGAACAGGAGGCATTATCACGCGAGGATCAGCTTTGCGCATCGCCTCACACTCAGCTTCGGAGACTCCAATTTGCTCGCAACCCTCGACGCACCGTAACCGAAGCCCCAGCGCGTTCAGCCCAGGCCAGAAACATGAAGCTGGGCCTCTTGCAGTTATCCTTTCTCCCCATCGGGCAAACTGTTCAATCGGCATATCACAACACCTCCACTTCCCGACCTCCTTTCGGGGCAACAAACCCCATCCCGACACGAGGCGAATAATGCGGAAAAGAAAGAACAGCTCGCAAAAATCGAGGACCCATCGATGCATATTGTGGTACAGCCGCGTTCTAGACGACCGTCCCCACTAAGCGATTGCTCCGGCCACTTAATCCGAGGCATGCGGCTGGGCTTGGCTTGCATCAAGAGTGTGCGAATCAGGCAGGCCAAGATGCCAATCAAGCCACAATGCATTGTGCTCAACTCGTGGCCCTTTCGGATTGTCAACGGAGCGACTTGTGTCAGCCAGCCACCGAGCATATATCTACTGAACATAATGGCTTTTACTTGACTGCAGGTGAGTGTTGTGACTTGGCCGTCTTGGAAGAACCTCAGCTCTCTTTCGCTTCGATGCGTGATGGGTGTTTTCAACGTTCTAGAGCGGCCGCTGTTCAGCACGCAAATATGCCACGACAGTATTGGCAATGGGGGCTGTTGCACCATTCCGACGCCAAGTCTATGGGCGGCTCAGCTCTAGAAGTTGATATAGAGTTTGCCGTTGAAGAACCGTCCGCATGGCTCTGTGCCAGGTTTATTCTCTTTGGTCTACAGTAAGCCAGCTCAAAGTTAAAGCTTTCGTTTCTATCTCGCCGTCATTATGGGCACGGGCGGCACGGTTGTCATCACCTCGCATGCTCCGATCGAGCATGACCCCCCGCGACAGAGGCCACCTCTGCAGCATCGCGTCGTCGACGGCACTCGCTTCTGGGCATCGCGGTTCTTCCCATGGTCTGCTGACAAGGCGGAGGTCAAGCTTCACGATATTACGAAGGCTCGATACGTCCCATGGCTAGGTCTTGGTGCTCTGGCTTTATCTGGATTGACTATTCTATTCTCTTGGATCGTCCTCAGGGTCATCGACGGGCATAGGCAGAGGGAAGAAAGGTACCTGAAACCTGCTTCGTGGCTATCTGCCATTCTATCCGGCAATAGCGTTCTTCTTGGCTTTGCGATGAGCGAAGGTATCACTATAGCTTGGTGGTTTACCGTCTCGCAGAGAAATGCGACAGTCCGGGATATTCATGAAGCTTGGTCACTTGGTTCCAGCCTTTTTACCGTCCTTCGGGCTGGAAAGAGATTTAACTATATCGCATTAGCAACACTCTTTGTGGCGTCGATTCCCCTCAATGGTAAGTCTTCAGGTCCGGTAGGGTTATTACAGCTAATGCTCCATAGGTCTGCTCTTGCAAAACGCCATCACGACTGTACCAGGCACTCATGTCAATACAACCATGATCGAAGTGGGCATAGCGTCGGACCTACCAAGAGGATTCTCCGCCGACCTATCCGATGGTTCTATCAGCACATTTGGTCAGATCTTTTCGCAAGCTCTTGTGTTTGCTGATCGGGACCTTGGTTTTTCTGGTGTGGACCCCGTTTTCATCAATTCTCCTCTGTGGAATGGATCCGGAAGCTGTGGTGCTGATGATCTTTGGGGCACGTGTACTGGGCGGGTCAGCAGTCCTGGCTTCTCAGCTGATTGTGCGGACTTCTCTGAGCCGTATGACATTGACCCTAAAAGTCGTAACGGTCAACCATTTTCTGCAGTGATCTTTTCCAGCAAGATCGACTGGGATGTCAACGCTCCAGGTGAATTCAACCTCACACTACGCCTCAAGGATGCTACCGATTGTGTGGGCCAGTACATCGGTCGAAGTTGCATATTCCGTGCCGCTCGGGTGTCGTACCCTATTACACTGTTCCCGCGGTCTGAATTGAGTGTTGGGTCCTACCTGAGAAATCTTGATTTGGGGACTAGTTTCAATATCCTTAGTCTGGACCCCAACACCACCTTCGACGATGATCATGTCGAATCAGACATCCCAGTACCTTCCGAGGCTGATTCGGCAAACACTACATTTGGTGGTGTTGTGAAGTATCTGAAAAGCGTCTATGACGCCGAGTTAACCTGGGACTGGAATGGTACGCATTGGCACATCAACCCCACAGGGAAGCAAGCAGAGTACGCAGTCATTGAGACTTACATTCTTGAGCCCACCGGTCTCCCTCGGAGCGCTTCCGCTGCAAGCTCACTGGCAGATCCGAACTATTGTAAAAACAGGCTCTTCGGTTATCAGGAAAATGGTCGCCCTGCATTGGAGTATCAATTGAAGGATCGTCTGAGGCATCTCATGTTCTTGTCCAGCGTCATGCAGAATATCCTCGACCCCGATTTTTGGTACACTCAGAATGTGACCGCCCAGAGGACCACCAGTGTACCGCAATACAAGATCCTGTATCGGTACTGGGCCGGTTCCCTGGCGGTAACGGTCACCATTATTTGCATGATCATTCCGACATTCTGGGGCTTTTGGCTGCTGAGTGGCAAGCTCACGTTGAGTCCCATCGACACGGCCACGGCGTTGGAAGCACCACTTGTTCTGTCAGAGAACAGCATCGAAGATTCCAAGTCGCGCCTGGAGGAAATTGGGTCGCGGCCACTTTCCTCCCTGCGACGAGAAGGATCCGGTAGTCCCTGAGATAGGTCGCCTGATCCGGGGCCAGGCCAATATGGACCCGGGTGGAATGTCTGAGTGACAACGACGACTATTGATGTGGGTGCCATAAAGGGGAGAGACTTCTCAACTTGGTACGCCAAGCCAGCGATCCCGGCTTGACTGCCCTTCACTTTAACTGGGGTTCAAAGTGGGTGGGGTTCCCTAGTCGTTGGCGTTCACTGTGGTATTCACGGAGGAGATCTAATTGGCATGTGGTTGGGTTGTGTCGATGTCCCGAGCGGCATGGCACTCTTTTGAGCTTCACGTGGCCCGAGCATACCAGTGCTAATGCCTCATCACTCATTGTATTCATAAGCTACGCACTATCGAATCACCCTTCCAAGCATGCTTCCCCTCTCGTGAAAGCTGTTTGTGTGCGGCGCACTCTGGGTTTCATTTTTGTTTTCTTCGTGCAAGATCCCGCCAAGCTTGACGTCTCTGGGCGAAGCACTGCTGTACTTACAATGTGACAGACTTGCGGAAGTTGCTGCCGGCGTAGATAGCATTAGATCCCAACTCTTCCTCGATGCGGAGGATCTGGTTCAGCTTGGCAAGACGTTCGGATCGCGCTGGGGCGCCAGTCTTGATCTCACCAGCTCGAATACCGACCACGATGTCGGCGATAGTGACGTCCTCGGTCTCACCAGAACGATGTGATACCATCACGCCCCAGCCAGCGGCGTAAGAGTCCTTAGCGGCTTGGATGGACTCGGTCAGAGTGCCGATCTGGTTGACCTTCAGCAACAAGGCATTGCAGGCCTTCGACTCGATGGCTCTCTTGATGCGGATCGGGTTGGTCACCGTTAGGTCGTCGCTGTCCTCAGTTAGTAGTCGTCCCAAAATCTGGGGCGGGGTCGAAAAACACACCCGACAATCTGGAAGTCGGAAGTCTTGAAGAAGTAGCTCCAGGCCTCCCAGTCATCTTCAGCGAAGGGGTCCTCGATCGAAACGATGGGGTATTTGCTCGCCAGATTCTTGTACTGGTCGGCGAGCTGCTCGTAGGTGATCCATTTGCTCTTGTCACTGTCGGGGTTCTTGAAGTCGAGGTCGTATTTCTTCTCGGCTTCCTTGTAGAATTCGCTCGAGGCGACATCCATGGCGATGTTCATCCTGCCCGTGTAACCCGCTTCTTCGATGGCTTGGGAGATGAGGTCCAGTGCCTCTTCAGCAGTCTGGATATCCGGAGCGACACCACCCTCGTCGCCGACATTGCCGGCAGATTGACCGTACTTCTTCTTGGCGAGGGCCTTCAGCTTCTGATAAACCTCAGCACCCCATCGCAGACCTTCGGAAAACGTCGGTGCTTGGCTGTGCTCCCCATTAGCATTGCATGGTGCGAACAGGGCTACAGTCACTTACTCAGGGACGATCATGAATTCTTGGAAAGCAAGACGACCACCTGCATGTGAACCACCGTTGAGGACGTTCATGAACGGGACAGGAAGGACGTATGGCTTCTTCGTGCCTGCGAGGTCGGAGACATGTGCGTAGAGAGGGACACCCTTTTGAGCGGCACCAGCTTTGGCGACTGCGAGACTGACGCCCAAGATAGCATTGGCACCAAGATTGGTCTTGTTGTCGGTTCCATCGAGCTCAATCAAGAACTTGTCAACGCTGGACTGATCGGTGACGTCGATGTTCTTCTCGATCAACTTTGGTCCGATGACAGTGTTCACGTTGTTGACCGCTTTCAGAACACCCTTGCCGCCCCAGTGTGACTTGTCGCCATCTCGGAGCTCGCAGGCTTCGTGCTGGCCGGTGGAGGCACCAGACGGGACAATGGCGCGGTGGAGACCAGTCTCAGTGACAACGTCAACCTCGACGGTCGGGTTGCCTCGGGAGTCGTAGACGGAGCGGGCGTGGACTTTGACGATAGGCATGGCTGTTGGTGGGTCAGTGAGTGGGCAATATCGGAACAGTGACGAAAATGAATTGAGAATGAGGAGCCAGAAGGAATCGACGCTGGAAATGAGGTCTGGGAAGAGGAGATGTTGAAGGGGAGTAAAGCACAAAGCGCCTGTTGCGCAAGCTGCGACTGACGCAGGTCGGAGATGGCGATATGAGAGAGCTTCGAGAGGTATACTCACTGGCTATTCTCAGTGGTGTGATAGACGAGTTGAGTCAGTAACCAGCTGCTTAGTGATGTATCTGAATGGGTAGAAGGGCTTCGACTTGTTTCCTCTTTGGCGATTGACAAAAGGAATGCGGTGAAGAGGGAGCAAAGGTGGAAGGGAAGTGAAACTTTGTTTATTTTGGTGGGGGTGTTGGCATGAGCACACTCGAGGATATTGATCGCTACAAATTTACTTCATTCTCAGCAACGACTCACTCAGCAGCTGCACCGATGCGGGACATGAGCAACCCCTCCAAGCTGTTGGCGGTCACCGATTCGCAGATCTCCCAGCGCCTGCGGTCCGCCGAAGGAGCCAAGCCAAATCTGTCCCTATCAACGCCCAACGTCACCGCAAGCCCAGGGTCTTCCGTGACGGTCGAGCTAAGTCCTTCAGGTTAGGCGTCAAACGTGACCGCGTCGGAAGACCTTCCCAGTGTTTGGCTTCCGCCAGCCTTCCTTCGCCTCGCCGCGTCGTCGCTTTGGTACCTGCGCAAGCTTCACCATACTGAACGGTAGTGAACCCAAATATCGAAACAGCAAGACTATCATCCTCCAGAGGACCCAGTTGCCGACTCCCCCATCGTTCAGCATCGCCTAGAGTCACAATAACCACTTGGCCGCATCCTCGTCCGCTCACCGCAACGGCAGCTACAAGATGGATGGGAATGGAGATCCCGAGAGGCAGCAAGCCCTTGAGCAATACAAGAACAAGCTACTAGAGTCCCGAGAATGGGAATCAAAGCTCAAAGCCCTTCGGATGGACATCAAGGGTCTTCAAAAGGAATTCGAAACGACAGAAGAGAACATCAAGGCATTACAAAGTGTCGGACAAATCATCGGCGAAGTTCTGAAGCAGCTTGACGAGGAGCGATGTAAGTTCTCCAGCATCCCATATTTCTGACTACTAACAACATGCCCTAGTCATCGTCAAAGCGTCGTCAGGTCCCAGATACGTTGTCGGTTGCCGATCGAAAGTCGATAAGTCCAAGTTGAAGCAAGGCACGCGAGTGGCGCTCGACATGACCACCCTAACAATCATGCGTATGTTACCTCGAGAAGTCGACCCTTTGGTCTACAACATGTCGCTGGAGGACCCCGGCCAAGTTTCCTTCGCTGGAATTGGTGGGCTGAACGAACAAATCCGAGAATTACGGGAAGTTATTGAACTGCCTCTCAAGAACCCGGAGTTGTTCTTACGGGTCGGCATCAAACCACCCAAGGGTGTGCTACTCTACGGGCCTCCGGGAACAGGGAAAACGCTGTTGGCAAGAGCAGTGGCGAGCAGTCTGGACACGAACTTTCTGAAAGGTGCATCTACAAACAACCCGGTCTTAAAGGTCTGATGCTAACTCTGCTTTAGTTGTCTCATCAGCGATTGTGGACAAATACATCGGCGAATCCGCGAGATTGATAAGAGAAATGTTTGGCTACGCAAAAGAACACGAACCCTGTATTATCTTCATGGACGAAATTGATGCCATTGGCGGAAGACGATTCAGCGAAGGCACGTCTGCGGATCGTGAAATTCAGAGAACGTTGATGGAACTCTTGAATCAGCTCGACGGTTTCGACTACCTGGGAAAGACCAAGATTATCATGGCAACCAACCGACCCGATACCCTAGACCCTGCACTTTTGCGAGCAGGAAGACTGGACAGAAAGATCGAAATTCCCCTGCCAAATGAGGTTGGTCGGTTGGAAATCCTCAAGATCCATGCCGCAGGAGTGGTAACAGAAGGAAACATCGATTTCGAGAGTGTGGTCAAGATGAGTGATGGTCTCAACGGTGCCGATTTGCGAAACGTGGTAACCGAGGCCGGCCTCTTCGCCATCAAGGATTACCGGGATGCTGTCAATCAGGATGACTTCAACAAGGCAGTAAGGAAGGTGGCCGAGGCGAAGAAACTCGAAGGCAAGCTCGAGTACCAGAAATTGTAAGATATAACAAGGTGGCATGGTTTCGGGTATTGCATAGCGTGAGGACTGGCTGGGTTCGCTCCCCAATCGAGTTATGCAACAATAATAGACTGTGGTGGTCGCCTGTGGTATCTTCTCTTTATTCATTCCATCGCAAAACCCATCGCGGCACGCCACCATCTCTGTATGCCCTGGCGCTCCATATAGACCGCCATTTCCTTCACTGTCTCAACTTCCTGAAGAATCCCCTCCTTTGCGAAACCAGATTGCGATTCAGCTCCAGCGATAGTGGCCACGGGAGCGACGAGTTGATAGTCCTTGTACCTCAGACCATGAACGGTGTCCACCCACTTCTGCACCTGGGCTGGATCACTTCCACGGACATACATGACACCCGGGATGCCTCCCGATCGGAGCAGAGCGTAGCATTGTAGCTGTTTGGCTGCTGCTTTGAGGCGAGCAACTTTCTTGCGGGATGTTATGTGGTGCGTGCGGATGAGTGCATGGTATGCTAGCATGCTCTTGCCGATGGAACAGGGGATGGGAACAGCTTTAGAAATCGAGGGTTGGAAAATAAGAGTCCCGGTCTCATCGGAGCGAGATTTGGTAGGTACTCACCGGCTAATCACCGGGTGTCTGGATAATATGTGGCAATTACTCGTACAAGGACATCACTTGCTCCTCTCACCTGTCTCAATAACTCCATGGTTTGCTTCACGTCGAAAAGCACTGCGCCGAGAAACTCTAGCTGAATGTTCGAGCCTGCCGGTCGGGGTGATTACTGATGCAGAAAGGCACTCGGGGATGACGGCGGTCTGTATGAAATTTGTTCCCGCCACTCATTTCCGCTGTGAATGAAATTCTTCCTTCTCCTGCTTTGCGTTGCCTTCCACCACGCCTGCAGCGCCAATCACTCGAAACATAAGTGTTCCCATCTCGTCCAGCGTACCACATAGACACTGTTGGATTGCGGATTGCAACTTTCATTAGAAATCAAAGACAGACGCTACACCTCCTTGAATATGAACCAGTGGCCTGCGCCCCTCGACCCCATGTCGCCAATACTTGGCGGCGTCGTCCCCGCAGCAGCGGCGGGATGTGGGATCTCGCTTCGCTTAGACTTGGGAGATCAAGTTCAAATTTCACCGACCACCGACTTAAGCGTGGCAACAACGAGTGGACAGTCTACGAGTACCAACTTCTCGAACACACCTAGGAAAGCCTTCTTGGCGAGTATAACACCTGGCATGCTAGCACCTGAACGAGCGAGGAATCTAACGATAGGACGAAGCTCGCTAGCAGAACCTTCTGGTGCTCTCGCGGGAGATGCACGTCTCATTGTCGTATTGCATAATTCCTCTCCTGCCGTGGGATGCTAACCGGCAAAACGGCAAACCCAGGCCTCGGTACATGCATCACCACCCAGGCAATGTCCTCCCGCTGGCAAATGAAGATGGCAGTTCAGCAACGAGGCCATGTGCGGAGTTTGTTTAGCGCCCCTGCCCACGACGATCGGGTTTTTTACAAATGTCCATTCTGTTTGAGTCTGGGGTTAGTTGGACTTCTCCGTCTATTCAATTTGTTGTATGACCGGTTTTGTTATATTCATACACTCGACCTCGATCATGGCGCTTGGGAATTACGAGTGGTCCCAGCTCCCAGCGCTCAGTGTGTGAGCATCCCGTCGTTGACTCTTTTCTGAAGTTGGTTAGCTGCATCTTCGGGCGTGGATCATCCCATCGACGAAAGGACGTCCAAACCATTTTGTGCATCTATAGAAGGCTCACTCGAATATGTCGACTCAATCTCATGACAGTTTGAGAGTCGGGGTAAAACCAGCTGAAATTGATGGAGCCTTGAGCAAAGAAATTCCTGTTGAGGATGAAGTTGTTTCCTTGCCTCCAGCACCATTCAAAGATGGAGGTCTCAGAGCTTGGCTTCAGGTTTTTGGATGTTTTCTCGTCTTTTTCAATGTTTGGTGAGAGTGATGAATTTGTGCCTCTGGTGCAGCCACTGATGGAATCCAGGGGTTTCACTTTCGCGTTCGGTCTCTTCCAAAACTACTACGAGACACACTTGCTGAGCAGCAGTACTGCATCTGAGATTTCCTGGATTGGGACACTTGCATCCTACCTTCTGATTGTCATCGGCATCATATCTGGACCGTTGTTCGATCTCGGCCATTACCGGATCATGCTGTTTGGCGGCGCGGCCATGTCTTGTTTCGGAATTTTCATGTTGAGCTTGTCGAAGGAATACTATCAGATCATATTGACCCAGGGCATTTGTACAGGCCTGGGATGTGGTGTCCTGTTCATCCCGGGTATGGCGCTTGTCAGTCGCTCGTTCAACGCACGGAGAGCAGTCGCTTTGGGCCTTATCAGTTGCGGTGCGCCTTTTGGTAGGTTGCGGCATTTGCCATTACCTGGGGAGAAACCTACTGACACCCAAAACAGGGGGCATCATCTACACGATTGTTTTCGAGCAACTGATCGACTCACTGGGCTTCGCCTGGACAGTCAGGGTAATGGGCTTCATCATGACCGGCACCTTCCTCGCTGCATTCCCTCTGCTCCTTTGGGGAGCGAGCAACACCGGCGATATCAGCTCAGGCACCACTCGGAAGCTCTTCGACAAAGCAGCCCTCAAAGATATTGGGTTTTGGTTTTATACTTCGGCAAATTTCTTCGTACGTCTTCCCGGTTGCGAGAGTGCTATGTCTATCCCGGCTTGCTGACCTTCACAGATATTTACCGGCTACCTTGTGCCCTTCTTCTACATCCCGAGCTACGCACAACTTTCACTTGGCACATCTCGCGCTCTGGCACTCTATTCAGTCGTGATCGCACAAGGCTCTTCCGTCATAGGACGAATGATATTCGCGACGCTTGCGCTCCACATAGGAGTGATGATACCTTGGGTGATGTGCGCCTCGGTGTCAGCCATCCTGTGCCTTGGCTGGATAGGTATCAAGACCACGGCCGCCTTCTGCGGGTTCTGCGCCCTGTATGGTGAGTAGCTTCGGCGCTGCAACCACCTTCTCCAAGTCTCGCTCTGACGACGTACAGGTTTCTTTTCGGGGGCACTCATTCCCCTCCCGCCTAGTATCTTCCCAGTCGTCTGTCCTGACCCAAAAGTTCTCGGTACCCGACTCGGAATGGCCCAAGCAATCGGTGCTACAGCATCCCTGATAGGTAGTCCAATAGCGGGCGCCCTGGTTGGCGACAAAGGACAGCATTATATTGGATTGCAACTCTTCAGCGGTCTCGTCATGCTGATTGGCACGGCCTTCCAGATCTTCCTCTGGATCAATCTAGTGAAAAAGAGAAACTGCAAGGTATCCGTATAACTGGCCAAAGAAATATGACTGAGAAGATCTCGTGCATTTGCCAATTTATGCGGCATTCTGTCACCGCCAAACGGTCCCACAGGAAAGTTCTGTGTACAAGTGGTACCCGGTCGCGTATTTTGCTCCTGAAGGATCGTGAGCGCTGCGCAACAAATCAAAGCTTCTAACCACTCAAAGGGCGAAGGGAGTCACGCGTGACCAAGAGGCTGAGCACAGGCGCACGCCTGACTAGCCTCGGATGATCGTTTGTCAAGTGTACGAACGCAATCACTCGCGGGAGATATACTGGACCATGGCCCCATTAGAAACAGGGCCGTCTTTTTCACAAAGCCCTTTACAATCAGAATCTGCAAATATGCCCTTTGGAGTCGAAGACGATGAACTTGGAGCGTATATCGCCCTTTACCAACGACGCCAAGATCGGCTCACAAGGATCAAGCAGAGGAGCCTACCGACGCCAGCAGTGAATATAACATCGCCGTCAAGATGTGCACGACACTTTATGGTCCCAGAGTCAGCTCAAGCAAGGTCACCGTCAAGGCGAGGGCCATATCCTATGATCCCCTATTCTACCTCAACGTCGCCGCTGTCAACGCAAACGGAAAATCAGATGGTGACCCAGCCGCCTTCAGCACGATCAGGCACGGCGCCAAGGAGACCTTTGTTCTGGCCTTCGGACACGCCATATCCTCCGCCCGACCCGTGGTGGAAGAGGCGGGAGGAGCCAGGAAGGATCACCCGCAGCGTGCATCGGACCAGGCGGCCGCTTGTCGAACAAGGACAACCTCCTCCTCCCTACATTGCCGCGCATGAGCCCCCGCCGTATACAGAGGGAACTTCACCCCCGGTAGATCCATTCCATCGATCCTGGCACCTGATTGAGCGGGAGGTGAACGTCCTTGCGCAACCGACAACCGCGGCAACCCCTGCTGCTGGTGACATTGATAGGTATCAGGCACGCTCCAGTGGCAATCATATCCGTGAGCACACTATAGTAGACAAATCGGACGGTCAATTGGCCCATACCGGGCACCTGGAACGGCAACAGCGTGCCGGTGGCTATAAGACTTGACGGCTTTCATATCATTTGAATATCTTGACGGGCTCTTCAATAGATGAGGCCCGGCCGAGGAAGGTCGCTTATGTACAAGTGAGATGGATACCTTGGCTGTTGCGGGAGGTAGGAGATATAACTCAGGTTGGATAGCGAAAGGACTGTTCGCACTTGAGCCAACACTGGAGAACTGGAGGGTATACGCACATGAGGCTCTGTGACCGATGGACCAAATGGAAGTCTTACAAATGTGGTTGATTGTACTGTACAGAGCGAGAACGTAGCCCCATCCACCATATGGTCTTCGAGATACAATACACCGAGCTGAAAGACCGTACACCAATCTAATTCTTGCTTGCCTTTGAACTTGGGTATTTGCCCCAGCCCCTCCCGTGGCCTTTCTGCTTCCACTCCCGAATCAGCGCCGGCATATTCTCCATGGCTTTCCGTCTCTTCTCAAGCGTCGTGCCCATTCGTCTCTCCCATTTATGACCCTTGACCTTTTGTCCTTCACCCGTTCCCTTTATCCTGAGCCCACGCTCCAACAGGCGGGACTCCTTGAATGCAGTCGACTTTTTGCCCGGCGGCAGAAGTTCCTCAATGTGGTATTGTTGCGCAAGTTTCACGAGCTCGGCTTGTCTGCGCAGGCCGATTCTGGGGCCTGACCAACGGCCGGTTTTGAAGTTTTTGCGGGGAAGGAAAGGGTTTGGCGGGAATTTCTCGAGAGACTGGGATGCGGGAGGTGGCGGTATGGGTATCGAGGAGTTTGTTGCTTGTCCATCTGCTAGAGATTCTGAGGGAGGTGTTGATTCCGAGACTGAAGGCGTTGAAGATACCAAGACAGGTTGTGCAATTATGCTTGGGTGTGCTTGTAGAGCAGAGGATATGGTTGTTTGGTTTGCGAGCAAGGCGGCTCGTGCGACTGCGGCTTCTTTGGCATCTCTTCGCGTTAAGGGGATCTTGATGCCGGTGAACTTTGCGGAGTATAGTTGGGGTGGGTAGCGTGCAAAGAAGTTCTGGAGCCGTAAAGGCAGAGCTGTCGTGGTCATTGTGCTGATGTTGTGGGGACTAAAGAGATCATAGGTGTGGTGACAGGAGACAAAGCGCCTCGGGCT